AGGTCTGGATGCACCTCTTTCTGTGCTTCAAGACTTGGCTTGCACATTCTGGGCCAGGAACAGAGTTTGGGGAGAAAAATGACTGTTGCTAACCACATGGTGTTTCTGTGGGCACTGGCTTTGCTCAGGAAAAGTTACTTTCTAAGTAAAATGATGTTTGCATTGTAGTTTCTAGCATGTTTAAGGAATTTTCTGGTTACAAGTTTGCAATCACTGTTCAGTTGTTTCCCTCTGTCAGGGCTCTGCCCTGGCCAACCTAACCACCCCAGCAGCATATACCCTCTCTGACAGCTCTGGAGCTCTGGGTCAGCTCACGCCCGAGCTATTCAAACACTGAACTCATTTCCAGCCTGATTCCCATAGCCCTGTCTTGCTGACTGGTTTTCCTGCGTTTACTGGGGACCTATGAGGAAGGTAGCATTGTCTCATCTTGTCTCCTTGACAGACTTGAACCTAGATTGTAGTCTTGTCTCCAGGTGTCTCATCTTTGTCTCATCTTCTCTCCAGTCTTGTCTCCTTGACAGACTTGAACCTAGATTGTAGTCTTGTCTCCAGGTGTCTTTTGCTTCTCATATCTGGACCCTGGATCTATTTTCATTCCTTGCCTTGCTGTGACTGTCAATATCACCAACCCAGTCCCGCTGAGATGCTGCAGGACTGTGTCCTGTTGGCAAGGCCACTCTCTGTGCTGTGGCCACGTTTGGCTCACAGCCTGCAGTCCCCTCCTAGAGCAGCCTGTCCCAGCTGAGAGCACTGATGGACCTGACTGTCCCTGTCTGGCCTCCACAAGGACCTTCCTCCAGCCTGCACAAAACCCAGCACCGTGTCACCTCCAGGGCTATCAGTCCCTGCCCCAGCACCCCACTGGGGCTGCCTGTTCATGGGCCCTGCTGTGCCAGCCCTGACACCCAGGCTGCCATCCTGGCCCAGCCTCAGCCTGTCCCAATTCCCCAAGGAGGTGACAGTACCTGGGGTTGTAGCTGCCCCCAAAGCCACCAGCTGCCCAGTCCCTAGTGGGGTTGGTGGGATGGAATGGGCTGCCAGGCCCTGTCTGCTGCTCGAGGAGGATCCTCTGTGGCTCCTGGTGCCTGGCCCTGAGGGAGCTGCTGGCCTTGCATTGCCATGCTCTGGCTTCTTCTAGTCACTTCAGTCCTTCTGTTCAACTTTTTCAAGAACAGCCCCAGTGATGGGGGATCTAAGAGTATATTTGTAAGTCTACAGATAACCCCAGGCTAGGGAGGTCTCTGAACTCTAGATCAGAATGTGAATTCCAAATAGAAAAACACAAGTAGCTACATGCAATAAGACACACCCCACATGGCATAAATATGGAAATATGTTGCATTTATAGTGTTGTATGGAGTACTTTATCATCAAGAAGGAGACAAACAAGATTATTGACAGGATAGTAAGGAAAATAGGAGGTTTAGAAACATGACCTATATTGAAGGAATGATAGAATGCATTTGCTTAGCTTAGTCAAGACTGCAAGTGTTTTAAGCTTGCAGTAAAGAACAAAAAGAACAATAATCAACAGTTCTGATCACATCAGTTTTGAAAAGTGATGGCATCTAGCAGCTTAGAGTGACTGGCAACTTTTCAACCCTGTAGAATATTAGTAAATGTCCCTCTTTTATATACTAAAACCAGTTAATGTATTAAAAGTATTACCAGCAAGTGTACATCCACAATTATAAATATAATCCTAAGAACAGACATGCAAAATCTTGTATGCCCTGAAGCTAGAGAAATTAAGTAATTTTTATCAATTAGAATGTCTTGTGCTCTGATTCAAATAAACAAATAGGAAAGAAAGTCACTTCTAAATCACTGTATATTGCATATTTTTTTTCCTGGTTCTTTTTCACAGACCCCTGCATGTTCCTATTAATTTAAAGACAGCAAGAATTGACAAGCACTCTTTTTCCACTGATACAGGCACTCCCTCTAGTGACAGCCACAGTTTCTCATTTACGTGAGAAACCTCATACATACCTTAACCACTGCAAGGCTCCGAATTCCATAATTTTTGTGGTGTTTTCTGAAAAAAATAACATTATTATCATCTGCCATATTTGATGTGGTTTCTCACTTATTATTTCACTGCTTATATGGCTTATACATAAATCAGATAAACCACAACAGGTTTGAACAAAGAAGCAATTGGGTCTAATCGGTGTTCCACATAGATCACCAGGTACCAACAGCCACATCTAGCAATATCTGCATGAGGAAATGTTTAAACTGGGAAAACAAATCAGTAAAGAGTAGATTAAAAGACTTGGTGGGCTTTTTTTTCTGACTAATTCACATGTTTTGCCATACTAGATGCTTGGAAGATATGCCAATTCCTACTTGTTTCTACTTCAGTATTGCAAATAATTTCTGGCCTCTCAGAAAAAAATACATTAGACACACTGCTTTGACACAGCATCATTCATCAAGTGTTTGAACAGTTATATGAAATATTTTTATTCTAGGTTCTTGAAAATTCATGTTCATATTAAAAAAATATCTTCTATTTCAAGGTAGTTTTGGAGTTTTATGGTTATGGGATATTGAGGAACACTTGTGTTTTTCCTTACTGTAAGAAAAATCCATGAAAAACTGTGAAAATTGAAATACCAAGTAGGCTGAAGGATAAAGAGGAGGTACTGCTGTATAAAGCCTTACAAAGCCTGAGGCTGTCAATTCTAAGAGTGCTCAGAGAGAAGAGCAAGATGAAACTATCTCTTGGCCTTAAGCAATTAGTTTAGGTAAGAATGATGAGAGCTGTTTTCAGGCAGGTATATTTGTCGACAGAAAGAGTTATTGAATCACTGAGTCACAGAATCATTGAGACTGGAAGGGACTCTGGAAGCCATCTGCCCAAGCCCCTGATCAAGAATGGTCACCTAGAGCTGTTTGCTCAGAACTGTGTTCAGACAGCTTTTGATTATTCCAAGGATGTAGATCCACAGCTTCTTCATGCAGCCTGTGCCTGTGTTTGGTCACCCTCAAAAATGAAAAGTTTCCTGATGATGATAGAAAGTCGTGTTCTGCTTGTGCCCATTGCCTCTTGCCTTGTCACTGGACACTCTCCCTTCAAGTATTTATACACAATGATGAGATCCTCCAAGCATTCTCCTCTCCAGGCTAGACAGCCCAGCTTTCTCAGCTTTTCCTCAATGGAGAGATTAAATATCCTGGTGTCCCTCATCATGTCAGTAGCTACCTCAGCAGCCATAGGTGCATCCCAGGGCCTATGGACTTATGTCTCTCCTTGTATATTTTTCCCCCTCAGGCTTACACTCCCTGTGCCTCTTCATCTAAAGTCAGCTTTCCAGGCATCTTTGACTTCATTCTGCTCTGTCTGCATCTCTTGCATGGGCATCCAGGCTTAGAAATAACCTCTAGGAAAAAATGAATTTGCCCTCATAATTCAGACTTCAGACAGATCTTGCACTTTTCTTTGACTTGGGTCATGGCACATCCTTCCTCTAATAAGGAGACCAGCATGTTTAATAGAAGAGTTTGACTGTTTATTACAAAATCATAAATAAAAAATGGCTTTTAAGCCTCACTGACTTTGGTGACAATTCATCTACCACATAGCGCTTCTCCTCTTTTATGCATTTATGATAGCTGTTCATAAAAGAACTCATTTTCACAGTACCATGAAAGATGAATCTGTAGGACAGTTATTTATTTTGTGGTGTCTTTTTTTTTTTGATAGCCTTGTGAAAGAAATAGTGAAACAATCTCCTGAAAGCTACATTAATAATGGCTTGTCATGAAGGACAAGTAGTTTAGTATGAAAAGGTATCATTGGTGACAAATGCAAAAATTCTGAAAATTAAATTTAAGCTTAAAAAAAGAGATATTATTTTTAAAATAGATGTAGTCCTTCTAGATTTTCTACCCTTAAGGTCTGTGTCCTCAGACTCAATACACATTTATTTATATATATGCAGTAATGTAATGGCTCAGAATAGTATTTCCTTTTTTAATTTTTTAAGGTTTTAGCCAAGATCTGTATTTGTATTATATATTTGCATCAGTCAAGGGGCACAACAGCATTAATCAAGCACCACTAACCTGAAGTAGGAAGACCATGCTGGCCTCTCTAAATGCAAGCACTGTCATGTTACTGTCTAACACAGCACTTCCGATAACAGAATGCTGGGATAGACGTTTTCAAATTCATGAAGTGTGCTGTAATCATACAGCATTCAAGTATGCCTGCTGTATTGTGAGCCCGTGAAACAGTCCTGCAGGACAGGAATGGAGGTAGACACTATGGATTGCCAGCCCCAGCTTATTACTGTGCTCAAAGGCCAATGGTCACTGTCTAGGGGTGGATTTCAGAGGCAATAGACATAATATATATTAAAAACCCCAGCTCACTGCATTTACCTTTGCCTGGAGTGCTCACCTATAGGTGATCAAATATTCCAGTGACTGTTGGCCTGTTGCAAGCTCTGCCCAAGTTGCAGAGGCCCAGGAGACATTTCCTGTCATCGGTCACAACATTCTTTATCCCTTTTCTCTCTTCAAGGCCAGAGTAGCAGTGTGTGTAATAGTTGGGGCGTTTTTACTGCACACAAGGGTAATAGATACCACGTTTGGGAGCGGGGAAATGCGTGGCTTAAGGAAACAAGAAGTCAAGCAACAGGAAGGGAGATGGCTCCCTGTAAGAAACAGCTGCTCTCCCCATCAGCCGTCTGCTCGGAAGGGGAACAGACTCGCCGGCTTTACCAGGGCAACAGCTTTTGTTTCTGCTCTTCGCAGTCATTTAGCTAACATGTTTGTAAACACTAATGTGTATTTTGTAAAAACTTGGCGTTTCACAAAACAACGTTCATAAACAGCGGAACCTCCCACCGCTCGCACCAGCGCTCTCCGCAGGCCCAGCGGCCTCCCAGCAAGGCGGGACCTGCCCGGCCCTCGCCGCCCTGCCGCCGCAAAGCCTCTCGGGAGTTGAAGTCCCGCACATTGTCTTTTCCATGGCTGGCCCGCGTCTTGTGGACTCCGTGTCCCATGGAGCGCTGCGGGGGGCCCGGCGCCCGGCCCGCGGCCCCGGCAGCTGGCGGCAGGGCGGCTAGTTCAAGTTGCCATAGCGGCGAGGTGAGGCGGACGGAAGGTGCCCGGGATGGGGCGGTCTCGCCTCGGAGCGCTGTGCGGTGCGGGCTGGGGGTGCGGGAAGGGCCGCGGCCAGGGCAGTGTGCGGGAGGCGGCTGTCCGGCTCGGAGCGCCGTGGGCGGGCGGGCGCGGATGGCAGCGGCGGCGGGAGGCGCGGGGTGCGGCGGCCGCGGGTTCCTCGGGACGCTCCGGAGGCCCGGCCGGCGGCGAGCCCGGCCCCGTTCTGGGCCAAAGAGCCAGGAGGCTCTCAGAGCTGGAGTCGGGTGTTAGTGGCGTTCCCTGCGTGCCCGGCAGGAGCGGGGTTTGCAGAGGGCATTACTTGGTTATGAACAGTGCCAAGGAGCCGTTTTCTGTGTTGTGCTGCTGAAGAGCGCTGGGAGCGCGGTGTGGCAAATTGATAATAACATGTGCTACTGATCCCTGAAAGCACGATGGTACAATATCGCCATATGGGATCACCTTCCTGTGTTTTCCAGACGCAAATACAAACACTGAAGGAAAGGGCCTTTCAGGTGTCATGTTGTTCCTTTCTGAAATTATTATAATTTTTATTTTTTTTTGTCGTGCTCAGTCTTAACTATGAGGCTTCAACCATTCCTTTAACACTAAGTTAGTTACCTAGTGATAGATTAGCCTGTGTGGAGCTGAACAAATAAAACACTTGAGGAATAATCAGATTGTGTACACTTTATCTTTTGTTTACTTGAGCTGAAGAGCTTGACATTGAGATTGTCAGCTCTACTTCTTACCTGGCAGATTTCTTAAAAAGTCATCAGTGAAACTGAAATGCCCTGCTTCCTACAGGAAAGGAAAATACTGAGTATTGATGCTTTTCATCAGTTCAACAAAGGTTGTGATCTGCTTGGGTAGAACTAAAAACCAGTAAGAGCCAAATGATTCTTACTGTCAAGTAGGTCATATGTGCTGAAATTAGTGTAGCTTTTTGGAAAAAGCGATAAGCTTTTTTTTGTTTGTTTCAGTTGATAGGCAGATGTGTATATGGAACATTTCTGTAAATTCCTACTTCTTTGTGATTTTTATTTTTTTGACCTAAAGTGAAACTTGCACAGTTCCTTTAAAAATGAGGATATTGCCTTATGTGAAACAACTTCTTCACCTTAAAAGTTCTTGTGGTTCCTTTTAGGTTGCTCATGAGAACAAAGAGGAATGCTTAACCATAAATAGTAAGTTTTCTTCTGACAAAATGTCCTCCTTATCCCATGCTTTCTTTTATTTTTACCTTGATTACTGACCTTTCTGCTGTGCTTTGGCTAGTATATATCTTAATGAGCCTATTTTTGGACAGCTGAAAATAAACCCATTAATCTTTCCTGCTGCAAATCTTTATTTCCCTTTTTTCCCTTCAGTCGTTGCTTTTCAGTAGTTGGGCCTCTTATGGTTGAGTCTACTTCTTTATTAGATTTTGTTGATTTTTTTTTACTAAATTACAGTAAAACAAATATTATTCCATGTTATTATTTGTACCAGTGTTTTATTTATTTTATTTTTGTCTCTGAAAATATCCCATAATTTCTGTTTCCCAATGGTTAGTGTTTAGTCTTTTTCAGTCTTATTAAGACTTCATTGCAGCTGATTGGAGTGAGGCACTGGAATAACAAATTCTGATACTGTTAGTAAAAATGTGTCTTAGTAAGATGAGGTTTAGAAAATATAAGGAATACTGATGTACTTGAGCACAAATTGAGCACAATGATTTGCTGTTCTTTCATATTTGAAAGGTTTTTATCCAAGTCTGGGGGACACAAATTTGCAACGTTTTGAAAATTAAGACTTGGAAAAACATCAAGTTGCCTCCATATAAAATATAATCTTTTGAAAATTAAATATTAAGACTTGGAAAAACATCAAGTTGCCTCTATATAAAATATAATATAAGATTTTAATCCATCTATGGTTTGTTTTGGAAATTTCAGCTCTCATGGGTAGAAGAATGTCATCTTTACTGTGACTTTTTTTTTGTTGTTGACTACAGAGGTTCAAGAATTTGCCAGTCTATTTCTCCTTTCACCAAGTCATTCCATGACCTTAAGGCAAACTGTTGCAGTATGTAATAGTTTAAGAAAAAAATTCAATTTAACCTACCTTTTGAAGGTTGTTATATTAATCAGTTACTATGTGACTTTACTATACTAGGCACAGCTGTCTGTAGTTTTTAATAATTTCACCCATCTGATGATTGTTGACCTATTTTCCTTCTATCTTGCCATCCTTGAGATTTAGCAATCCCCATTCTGAAGACAGCTTAGTGAGTAGTGCGAGATAAAGGAGGGTGGTTCTGCAGACCAGGAAGATGGATAAAACATTGATGTATCCACTCTCTGTTTGGGGAGGAGAATTTGCTTTGGGCAGTGATTTGATCATGAGTACTGAACATTTGGAAGCAGTGAGATTGCGTATTTTGATTTAATTTGTTCCGAAGAGGCTCAGCCTTCTGCATCTTGACCCTGCTTCGTAGTGTGAGCAAAGGTAATAACTGAGGAGCAGCTGGAAGATCTGCTTCAAAAGTACATCCTGCTGAGCCACACCAGAAAGGCAAATGTAATCTGAGTTTATGAAGTTGCTTTGGGAATATTGTGCAAGATTTCAGTTACAGACAGGAATTAACACATGTTACTTTTTCTGGTTTTCCTGCCTAGGCTTCAAGATACTGATGGCAGATTCATCCAGTGATTCAGACAACTTATTTACGGGTCGGACTGGAAGGCGGCCCTTGAGAGCATCCCACAGCAGAGCTCAGAACTATGGTGCTGAAGAAGTTACAGAGAAGATCCATACTTTAGCAAGCACTTTGCAGGTTGTTAACAAAATACAGTTTTCAAGTATTTGTAGAGCCTACATTTCTGTAACACAGGGTCAAATTTTCATTTCTGAAGTTGGGGAGTGTACTGTACAGATGGGAAACATTGCTGTCTGTGCAAACCAAAGATGGTTTTGGGAAATAATTCATACTGCTTTTGAGCTGAAAGTGCGTGGCTTGTTGCATTTTTATGCAGCTGCTATTTCAGACAGTAATAGAATGTTGTTAGAAACAATGATGTGGTGGGTAATACTATTTATAAAGTTAGTAAACTGAGTAAGGGCAAATCAGTTTTGTTAGATTCTCACAAAAGGCATGAAATTTTATAGCAAAAACTTTCAGCCTTGTCTTGGTTGTCTTTGTACTGTGTACAATTTCAAAATTTCTGATAAATATGTAAGTGGTCAGTTCCTTCAGGAGAGAGCTTACATTTCAAATATTTTCTAGATGTGAAAAAGCACTGTGAGAAACATTAAGAGAGCAAGAAAAAGTGGAGGGGGCAGAGGGAATATCTGTTTTGAAAATGGGAGGAGATACTTAGCTATCCTGACACCATTAGTGCTGGAGAATTTATTCCCATTCTTTAGGTGAATACCTAGAGTTGGGTGGGTGTTTTATTACTCTAGGTGACAGTTCTGAATACCTAGAGTTGGGTGGGTGTTTTATTACTTATTGTTTGGCTAGCAACATTTTTTTTCCTTTTAATATATGAGAAGGGAAAAATCAATATAGAATGGTAAATTTAAAATTCAAAACTTCTTACCTGGAAAATAATAAATCTAGAAAATAATATAATAAGAATACAGTCTGACTACTTCTTAAAAGGGAATCTTTGGTATTCTGATTATGTCCAACGTCTTTCTAGCTGCTCTTCTGAAATTCCAATTTTAAGCTAATTGCTTTTTATGGACTGCTTTTTAGCAGATCTTCCATCTGATCCAGGCATTTATCTGGTCAGAAAATATTCATGCAGTGACCTTACCTAGTGTGTTCACCTTCAAAAATTTGTTATTTCTCAGATAACTATTCTATTCTACAAGCAGGTAATGTTAAGATTATTGGATTAAAAAGATTTTTCTACAGAAACTTGAAAAAAATTTTTATTTTATGCTGAGGTCTTACTGTTGTACTGAGATTATAGAATTTGGTTTGGTTTTTTTTCTTCTTCATTTTGCTCCCTGTAGCCATACTGTAGCCCTTCAGATTCTGGTTACTTGAATAGGATTTTGAATGTTTAGACCCTTTAGAAAACATTTGTGTTTTTAATTTCATCTTAGAAATTAATAATAATAAAGACAACAGTAATGTTTGATTAGAGGAGGTTTCTGTTTTGACTTTTTTTCTAAAACTTTTTTTATTTAAGGATACCAACAGAAATCTAAGACACGTTGACCATTTGCTAGGACAGTACAGAGAATACAACAAGGAACAAACCAAAGCAATAACGACTGTAAGCAACTTTCAGTTTATCTTAACTTTTAGGTTTTTTCCATTAGTAGAACTCATAGCTGAAAATGTGGTATTAATGGACAGAATACATAAGCATTTAAGTAGCTTTAAACAGAAACTTTTAATATTTATTTGAGCATACTAAATCATAACTAATGTGTTATATAATGAAACTCTGACAGGTTTTGTAAGCTTATTACTTCTCTGGTTTATAAGCACCCAGTAGATTTTGTTAAGGTACTATGCAAAGTACAAGATGTGTAGCTGAAATAGAGTATTAGGGAACATGTTTCTTTTGCAGGAAGAAGTGGTAAGATAAAAGCTGAATTACAGCAGGGAATGAGATTGTGATCATACTGGTGTAGCTTTTTTTCCTGTCATTCTGCAGCAGTTTCTGGATGTTGACCAGCTTGCTCTAAATTGCAGAAAGGATGAAAATTCTAAAATTATTCTTCTCATTTTATAAACTCAAAACTCAAACTTCTACAAACTTGAAAACAGGTGTCTTAGAGAAAACAAAACAAATTAGTGCTGCTAGGGTAAGAGAGGTTTACAATTTGCTTACAAACAAGCTGCAGCAGGTGCTGCTTTAAAACAGATACATATGAAATGTTGAATATTTTACACGTGAAGGTAGAGAGAGTGAAGAAGCAAATGTGTAGAAAAGAAAGCCTATTTTTTTTAGAGAAAGAGATCCAACACTATATAATTCTTCAGGAGTAAAGCATCAATTTAACAATGGTTTACAAGCTTCTCTTAGAAAAAGGAGAACCTTTAGAAACTGATGTTTTGTGGATTGTCAAATAAAGGTGTAACAAGGCAAGTGGCTAAGATCCAAAGTTAACAAATGCAATTGTAAAAAACGAGATGTAAGTTTGAAAAATGAAGAATTAAGTTTTGAATGTAGCTAGTTCTGTACTCTTAAATTGGGAATGGCTTCCTTTACCTGGAAGTGAAACTTCTAAAAACAGGGATTTCTGTAAAGCTGTTTAGGGAAATTTGATAGCCATGTAAAATTGATTCCAGGTAGGGCTGGTGGAAGAATTCCAGTAAAAAATAATTTCTTTGAAGTTATTTTCTGAATTTTGCAGAACTGTTAATGAGCATTGCTGGCAAATAGGTCTTATTTTGGTTGTAGGAGATAAACTTTTGAGTTTTCATGGTGGTACACCATGTGGTGCACCAATGTTTTAAGAAACTTGATATTTGAAGCTGCCAATGTTGGAAGCATGTTTTGCTATAATTACAGGAATGTGATATATGATATATTGAAGAAAAGCTGTTATTAATTCATAGTTGTACTTGGCTTAAAAATAGCTTTTATTCTCTTAATGACTTTTAAATAAATAATATTTTCCATGCTTTTTAGAAAACAAGTTTGTGTTCATATTTCAATAAATTACAACTCTTCTACAGTTAAAAGAAACACTGGAGCAATCTATAGGTCAATTGAGGAGCCAGCGACTAACACGAAACTCTGGAATGAGAAGTGCATCTCTCTCAAGCTTATATCCCAGTGACCTGGATGGAGAAGGAACATCAGGTAAAATACTTGAAGGGCTTGAGTATGCTTGGATAATGTCATATGGATGTATTATGCAAAGAGGACATTAGGAAAAATGTGTAGAGATAGCCTTATGGAAAGTCATCATTGATGACTTGAAAGAAACTGAATTTAGAAATCTGGGAGACCTGCATTAAGTTATGCAGTTTATTTTTCCAGCTTTGTGTTTCTGTTAGTATTTTCTGCTGATATCCCAGGAGATCTAAATGAAATGTTGATTCTTTCAGCTGAGGAAATTAATTTTCCACTGCACGAGTTGTAGGTACATACAAGTTTAAGCTAAATCCAAAAGATATTGCAGCTTCTGAAGCTTGTTTCACAGCAAAAAGGGAATTTAAATTTTAAATGCATGAGATTATGGATGTTTGGAAACAGTGGGAAAGAAAAAAACCAGAAATTATTTATGACACACAAAAGAGTAGTTTTTTTCCTTGTATGTCTCACAAAATTCATTGTGTTTTGGGAAAAGGCATGTTTGGGAGGAGTATTCCTTTGAGAGGTAGTATTTAATGTATTTTTGTAGAAAGCTCTAAAAATTTAATTTCTGTGTAAAAGCTGTGAAATATAATAGTTTGAAGCTCTGATTGATTCACATGGAGGAAAAAGCGGTTGGTTGGGCAAATAAAACTTGAGGAAAAAGTACTCCTTGGAGAAACAATTCCTCTTTCTGGAATACTTGTATGTCATGGGTAAGAAATGTGAAGAAGAATCCTGGGAAGAGCTAAGAGTTATAAGCATAATATGTAATTCAGTAGTTGTTTTGTTCATAGTGTAACCTAGGAGGACATTGTCAAGAGGAAATAAGCATTATTCGTGAAGCAAAATGAAAAATTTCCCATACAAAATTTTGTTTTCTTTTTTTTTTAATCATATCTTCTGCAGGCAACCGCCACTTTGTGCCCACTTCTCCTCTCAGGGATTATGGAGACTCCCAGGGCAATAAACACCGAAGGTCTAGATCTGCAAGTGTTCGGTTTGTCAGTGAGGCAGATAATGTGGAGCAGGTACAGAGCACTAATGGGAGTTGCTGTTCCAAACGGACAGTATGTTTGCTCTTTGAGGGTCAAAGAGTCTCAAAGACTCTTTGCTTGTACATTAAATGAGGTGATTGTGAACATGCAGCTAAGAATGTTTCAGTTATGATTTGTGCTTTCAGTTGTTACCTGCTTTTTTCATTAGGTAGTCACCTCTTGTATCTGTCATGAAATGTCATGCAAATCATTATAGAGAAAAAGCTGCAGATGGTCGTGATATCAAAAGTAAAATATTAAAAAGATCTCCCTACTTTTTAGGCTGTCTAATGACAAAGAAAAATAATCTCTGAATAGCCTGTTTAGTCTGGAGAAGACTGAGAGGGAATCTCAGTAATGCATATTAATATCTCTAACATGGATGTCAAGAGGATGATGCCAGACTGTTCAGTGATGCCCAGTCACAGGACAGGGAGCAATGGCCATAAACTAAAACTCAAGGAGTTCCACCTCAGTGTGAGGAAGAGCTTTACAGTGAGTATGGCAGAGCACTGGCACAGGCTTCCCAGTGAGGTTATGGAGTCTCCCTGTCTGGAGACATTCAGAACCCACCTGGACAAATTCTTGTGTCACCTTTTCTAGGTGACCCTCTCTTGGGAGGGTGTCACCATTGTGTCAGGAATGGATGAATGAGTGACACTCCAGATCTCTTCAGGAGGCTAATAATAATTTTATTAGGAACCCATTCCTTTTTATACATTGTTCAGACACATGTGGACCTGATTGGTCCTTTAATCAACACACCTTACATGACTGGCTAATAAAGACACCTTTTGGTAACCATCTTATGGGAAAACAACTTTTCAAAACACCAGCTGCAAGATTGTCTTAATTCTTTCTCTCAGCCTTTTCAAAACTCCCTAGAACAATTCTTGGGAAAGTTTATCTGGCTTTCTCTCTCTGGCCAGGTTGTCGGTACCCACAGCAGGGGGCTTAGATGGGATGACCTCCAGAGGTCCTTTCCAGCCAGTTAACATTCACCTTCAGTGAGGCTGTGAAGGGGATTATTCTGCTTTAGTTAATGGTGTAGGGTCTTAGTGCTTTTGCTTTTAGTTTAGTGTAGCTTGACTTGATTTTACATCAGGTCGTTCTTCATCTTAGTTCTTGGTCTCACCTGTGAGTGGGATAATTTGAGCCTGTATTTCAGGGAGATGATGGGAGAAGATGTGTGTGCCACAGGTAATTCATATCCCTTAACATGCTTGCAGACTTCAGAAAAAATAAATTAATTACCTTAATTGATAAGATTGTAGTGTTTCTGTTATCCTACAGGTAGAAAGGAGATTTCACTACCTGTTTTTACTTCTTTCAGACAGGGTGGCTAGACTTGCTTGAGTGAATCTGTGTAGACTAATATTAATGAAGCTGATTGTAACGTATTCATATTGACTTTATTAAATCAGTCTCAGCTTCCATATAATTTTATACTTAACTACAGCAAGTTTTCTCAGATTACTTTTTGGGAAACTAGAAATTTTAGACTTTTATTTAGCCCTGTTTCATTGTCTTTTCAATCTAGTTCTCCCCCCATTCCTTCCTCTCCCAAGATAAGTGTAGAAAATAATCCTTGGAAGGAAATAATATTATATGGAAGTCTTTCCTCCCAGCCATCCAAAATGCTTAGGACTATTTTAGATTATTTCTAGATATTCCATAAATATCTTGGAAATTTTATTCAAGGGAATTCCTGCAATGCATGCAGAGTTCTTCATATTAAGTAACTGTATAGGCAAATAGCTTTTTTTTTTTCTGGTTTTGATGATAACTGCTGGTTTATTCCTTATTCTTGCTTTTCAGTGAGTGAATGTGGCTTTTTCTTTTCATTAACTATTTTTTAAGAAGAGTATAGTGCTTTGAGGAATGACGAACTAGAAGTAGCCATTGATCATGATTATAGGTAGAAATTACACCAGAGATAAAGCTGTACTGCTTAAGTAAAGTTGTGGCTTTTTCTTTTTTCTGCAACCACTGTCTGTTTATTTCCATTCTGACTTTTTCTGGCTGAAGTAATTTTTCAGCCAAATGGTCTTTTAACACATTTAAATCCCTCTTCTTAGCACATACATTTTGAAAATACAATTTGTTATTTCAAAGTCTCTTGGCTCAGGTTAGAATTTCTGGTTAATCACACAGGGGAGGTAGTAGTGCCCGTGTCTGAATGTCGAGGGCAGTCAGCCTGGTTGTGGAAGATCCAGGTTTAAATCTAGGGCACAGAAGAAAGGAATATTATAAATTAGGGTTTTTCATAATGATAATCCTGGCCATGGAATTGTTGACAGCAGTAGGTTGCATTAGGATGTATTAACTTTCTGTCCCATGAACAATGAATGACCTGTTCATTTTTTTATTTGCTCCCTAAAACTTTGATGATAAATTGGGAGCCTGCTGAATGGGGAAGATGGGAGGTTTTTAAAAAAAAACAAACTCCTTTTTCAGAAAGTAGATGTGTGGTGGTTTGTGTGGTTTTTTTTTGTTTTTTTGGTTTTTTTTTGTTTTTTTGTTTGTCTTTTTTTTCCCCCGCAAGCTCTGAAAAAAGAGTATGTAAAGTCTTGGGCAAGTTAATTCTCGGTAGTTCCTGAATATATTATACTGTTCTGCTTGTTTCATTTCAATTTCCTATGTAATCTATTTATAGTAGCATATATAGCTGGGCAGAACTTTGTTTTACCATTACTAGTATCTATTAACATGAAATATGTCTCTCCTGAACATTACTTGTTCACATATTTCAGTTTGCTTTGCATCAACTTAAAGAGGGGGTATAGTGTCTAAGCTCAGAACCAGAGAAAAAAAACACAGTTAGGAGACTTGGTTTAGCAAATAAAGTACTGAAAGTTAAACTACAGTGAGCAAATGTTGTGAAGGGTGGATTGAAATAGAAATGCATAAGCCTCATCCAGTCATCCAGGCTCAACGACAGTTCATGGAGTTTTATTATTTTTTAGGTTATTTTTATCTGCTTTCTTTTAAAACGTGTGCACATGTGTAGATAGGTATTTTTGGAATATCACAGAAAAAAGGGTTCCTAAGCCTTGGCATAATTTGTATACTTTCATTTGCAGCTGCATTCTTTCCACCAGTCTCTTCGAGATCTCAGCAGTGAACAAGTTCGCCTGGGAGATGACATCAGTCGCGAGCTTTCAAGAAGAAATCGGTATAAACAGAATGTAACTCCATGTGGAGAACAGTGTGGAAAAAAATTCTTAAACTCTTTTATTTCAAAAATAATGTTGGGGAGAATGAGTGATTGTGCAACATGTAGATGAAAGCAGGACTATGAACTGCTTTTTTTATGTCATCTGCTGCAGTATTTATAAACGTAAATAACACCTACTGATTCCAATTTGTATAATATATTGGGCTTTCCTCAGTTTTATCAAATATATACACAAAATGACAAGGTATAGAGGATTTCTTTTATTATAGCTTTGATCCTAGTTTGCTCTTGTTACTGAGTCCCTTCAGGGCAAGCTCTACTGCAGGCCATAATGTATATACTTTCTCAACATGTGGTGCTTTCTTCAATACCAATAACAGGAGTTAGACAGTTAATTCCTAGTAGGAAAGGACTGTTCGAAAGGACTGCATAGATGTGCCCATAGTTTTTTACTTGTTGAGCTGATACCTGGCTGATACTGAGATGCTCTGTTTCTTCACTTGAGGAATGGGAATGCTTTTTACCATGATTTTTCCACTTGAAGCTTGTTTGTCATTATGCTGTAAATTATTATGAATGGGCTGTAGTACAAAAAATACTGGGGGGGTTGTTGCTGCTTAAAATTATCATGGGTGTTACTTAGCTTTTGCACTGTAGAATATTGTCTTATTTATATTTTTCTATGAAGGACTGATGCTGAATTAAGAAAGACTCTAGAAGAGTTGTCTGAAAAGCTCACTGAGTCCCAAAGACAAGAAACGGTGAGTGTGACTAACATGAAAAGGATTATTTAAATCTAGTATTTTAAACAAGATGTGAGCTTCTAGTTTAACATATGTGTTGGTGATTGGTATGACATTCTGATATGTATATCTGAACATGGTCTTATTTGGGCTGTTATAGGTTGTTGAAATGTTACCCTTCGATAATGAAATCAGCAAGACATGTTGTATATTTCAGGTGTTTGAAATATACAAGTTGTATATTTCAAGTGTTTTGCAGGTGTGTGTATTGTGAATTTTTCTGTTACAAAATTTACAGCCTTGGAGAAAGCTGCTCTTTAACTTTGAGCATTGGTTTGAATGCTGTTATAATTGTTGAAGGTACCTTTGGAAAGATACAAGCTTTCCCATGTTATGATGATACTGTTTCTTCTTCCTCCCTCCCTCCCTCCCTTCCTTCCTGTTCTTTTCAATCCTTATCATCTATGTAGCAAAATGGGAGGAGTCTGTTTGGGCTGTACACTTCTCTAAAGTCTTCCTGACAAAATGTAGCAAAGGAGGCAGGACAGCCATGACAGTCTTTTCTTTCTTGTCTTCTGTATTTGCTGGAAGTAAATTGACTGCACTCTGTATTACTTAAATCTGAAAGAGATCTGCTACTGAGATCAAACTCAAACTGTAGGAACAGGGGAAGTTGTGAATCACCCCAATGATTAGTAGGTGAGAATTCTGTATGTAGTTCTTGACACACAAGACTTGAGTGTATGCTTAATGTAAGCATTTACTGTGGTACTAGTAGCAAAGCTGACTTTTCAGAGCAAGTGTTATATGTGCATAGTTACCTGTAGGTGGTTCATCTTGCTCTAAAATTGCATGAATTGGTACTAAATTCTCTGTCAAGGGCCGTACTGATATGTTTGTCACTGATAACAATATCGTTGGCATGGACCAACGTTGGTATCCAACAATGCTGCTTGGTACCGGCAAACTTAGTAAATGTACTTGTGTAAATTCGTGTTTCTAGATTAAATTGGACATTGATTCAAGAGACACTATCTGTACCAGTTCTTGATGTGATAAGGTCCATCAGGGAAAGAAGACTTGCCTTGTCATCCTTTGTAGAAAAATATGATGGAGTTGTCTTTGTTAGAATGTTAATTTTGAATTCTCCTAGTAGCCTGGTAGGATAAAGTAAGCTTATCTGATAAAGAATTCTTGATACTTGGAAAATGCTGTGTTTTTCCTGTAGCAGACTTCTCAGTATACTTATTTTTTTTCTCTTTCATGTACTAGGAAATTAGCAAATTCAGTTTTAACCAAGGTGGTTCTCAAGAAAGTAGCTGCTACAGCTGTCTACATTACAACTGTTCAGTGCCATTGTGTGAGAGATACAAACCTTCCTCAATCCTCTGGAATGGAGGCATCCACTGTCTGTTCATTAATGAAAGAAATAACTAGCTCTTTGACCTCCTACAGTAGGGTTTCAAGATATGAAATTGAAGGTTACAACTTCTGACCTGAAAGAAGCAAAAAATGAGAGAGGTGAGGTATAGCAAGGACGTCTCCTGTAGTATATTAATGGTAAGGGCAATATCAGAAGAGTAAGTTTCTTATTGGGAGGGAACATTATAATGCAATAAAGCTATGAAAATTGAAATATTTACTGATATTCTTTTAGTGAAGACACAAATGCTGCAGTAAGCTGCAGTGAGATGATTATTTGTAGCACTAGTAAGAACTCACCTGTGATATTCTGCTCATTGATGATTACTGACTTTATGAAGAACATCATAAAGCCAGATGGAAAGAAGACTGGAAAGAGGAGAGGTGAAAAAAAGAAAGAGGGGAAAAATAAAAAAGGCCACTAATTCAAAGGCTTCCTGGAAAAGATAGAAGAATAGCTCGGGTTCAGTTTGCAGAAGAAATAGGTCATTAGGAAGGATCTAGCCATGTATGATGAATAGGCAAAAAGTGGAAAGTTACTGTACGATATAAGAACAGAAAGTCATCTAATGATAATTTTGTCCAATAAGAAGTCTAATCACTTGTGAGGAGCTTCTTGGTCTGGAAGTGATCTGTCTGCTTTCTGTACTGAGAAATATTCCCTCTGTGGATTTATTTTTTGGAACTTGTCCAGTCTTTGTTATAACTTGCATATCTTTATGATCTTATCTTATAGCAAGGGGTTCTCAAAATAGATTCGCTTTGTTGGTGATCTGCTTTTTTGGTTATTTTGTGTTTATGTGTTTTGGTTGATGTGTTTTGTCTTGGGTTTTTTTGTTAGTTGTTGTAGGGTGTTTATTTGTTTGGATTTTAAATCTAATTTTTCATCCCTAATTTTAATTTGGGAGGTTGTTCAGTTTCTTCAGAGGCTTTTCAGAGTGTTACTTTTCAGGCCGAAAAATTCTGACTTAATGGACTGTTGTGTCCAGCCAATTCCCCATCACTTGAATAGCCCAGTGGTAGCATCATTGTGTACTGCTGCTTTACCAGGGCTCTCTGATCCTAGGTGTGGATCCCTTGCCCTTGTTCAAAGCCTAGTGATCTCCTATTACTTGATGAGGCTGGCAAAATCAGTGAGATGAGGTAAATGCAAAAAAGAGGGATTTAGTCTGGATATTACAAATAAAAATAACTCTCATGGTATGCATAGCAAAGCATGTGATTAGAGTGCATGTAGAAACTAGAGTCTGTTATTGTAGATATTTGACATCATTTAGTATGTGTATGTATTTAGGAATTCTTCTAATGAGATTGAATAAGGAAGTTTTGAGAAAAAAGGTGTTATGTCCTATTCAACTCACTTGCACCAATGACTATAAATTCTGAATTAAGCAAAGTTGTTCAGGAACTTTTGTCCTTAGTGCCTTTAGGCTTGGGATTGTTTATCACCTCAAGCATTGCCATCCTTGTATTTATATTCTGCTGTATGATTCTTGGCAATAAATTGTCAACTTGAAATCTTGATAATGTCATGGGATGAGCTTATGGTAGAAACATTTTTTTTCGGTTTAGTGTCCTTAAGTCTTTTATTTTTTAGAGACATATGTCTAAATTCTTACAGTTTGGTATATTTGGGGCTGTTTGAAAATTGTCTGTTTGTAGATTTGTGATGATAATGGTCTAAGTCACTACAGTTCTTCTGAGTCACTACTTCAGAATTTATTTTTATAAGGGTTTATGATTTTTAGAGCTTTTTTGATGCTGCATTTGAGTATTTTAGGATTCACACATCACAATCAAAGCACCATTTTTTACCTGTAAAGAGAGCTTTTCCATGCCAATATAAAAAACAGATGACATTGAAGGTTGCATAGTTGGATGCCTGTTTCTAGTCAAGTACTCTTCATGGCCTTTATGCTGTTATAAAATGATGGTAGAACTGTCTCTGAAAGAAGACAACAAAGTCAAGTGAAATGGGTCTTACGTGGAGTTACTGTGGTTATGATACCTCAGAGGCTGGGATTATTGTCAGATAATGAACTGTCCCTCAGAAGATCTGATATGAGGAATTTCGGTGCTGCGCAGGTGACTTGTAAAAGGTATAACACATATTATCATTTACCATGAGGGAAAAGTTTAACATTATTTAAGGATATATCTCTGAAAAAATTATGTTTTTTTTGTGATTTTAATACTCCTGTTTTGAGTATGCATTGATGATAAAACGTGTCATAGCAAGAACAGCAGAAAATATCTGTTGAAATAGATTTCTATTAGCAGGACTTTTGCACTAGAAATTACAAAAAGCTGAAAAACAGGGCAGAAATTCAATAAATAGGATGGTGCTTTTTGTACAGTAAGCATGCAGCATCTTCCACGAGATTATATTTAGCTGCATGACTTAAATGTCACCCTAGTTTTAAAAAGGACATTCTGTTCTTTTTATTTAATTGTGGGGGAGGGGTGGAACTTTTTGATAGCAGTAAAATCTATGAAAACAGATTAAGCTGCCTGAAACCTGTATGTAGAGACACAGTTCTAGTGTCATTATTATTTTTCAGATAGTCTGTGTTGCTAGAAATGCATACTTGAAATCACATTCTGATATGTTCCGAATGCAGTAATTTAGTGCTAGCATTTAATGTCATTGTGTAGAGCCTCTATATTCTTTGTACTGTCCTTTGGTGAAGCATTTGTCTACACTAAGATTTTTGATAACAGTCAGAGGTGAATACTTTCATGTTGTTCTGAGTCAAGGTCGTTTGGGACAAAGGAAGACAAGTATGTTTTTAAGTTTACTCTTCATGTACTACTTAATAAATTAATTGTTACTAATTTTTTTTTAATCCCTACTGTTGTATGCCACAGGCTCTGTGACAATCTTAGAAGGGTCAGACAGGCTACAAAAACAGGGAACATAATTCTTGTGGCTGATTAAAGCCTTGCTGAAATGCCAAGGTGTTACCAATACCATACCAATGTACAAAGTATGGGAAGCAAATAGGAACTTTAAGTAGCTTCAAATTTTTTGGCAGTTTGTGTTGCTTGTGGGGTTTTTTTTGGTTGGTTTCTTAAAGAGGATTATGTCTGTAACTGAAATTTCCATACCTTGTTAGAAATAGTACAACTATTGTGTTCTGGAGTGAGTTGACAAGTCACAGGCAAGGCAAATCACCTCATAAAGTTACTTTCTTACTTGTTCTGAGTTAGTGATAATTTGTAATGAAATCTGAACTTTGCAGGAATCTAAAGCCTGTCTAGTGATGCCTTTATGTCATATTATCTTCTGTGCATGCTAGACCCATGACAGTGAAAAAGTTACTGAACTCTCCTTTGGAATGTCATCTTTGGGGGTGATGTTACTTTTAAATCTTCTGTGAAGTCGAAATTGTATTTTTCTTTCTTAATAGTGCATTATAATTAGTGCACTAAATTAGTGCTTAATAGCACTAAAGCTATTAAGGCAGTGCTTCATTGAAAAAAGGTGCATGAGAGAGCTAAGAAAGCTTCTGTCTTCAGAAGCACATAGTCAAAACTTTAAAAAAAATGTTAAAAGATAACTATTTCATTTCTTTATTTTAGATATGTATTATCTTTTAACATTTTTTTTTAAAGTTTTGACTATTTCATTTCTTTATTTTAGATATGTATGGGGGAAAAGATGACTTATTTCCTTGGTTTCACCAAAGATATAACAAGTTTAATGACAGTGTTGTTTTCTGTTCCTACTACATGGTAACATTGTTTCTGCTAGCTGGAGTATTTTATGAATTCTGAGAAGTAACGCTAAGCGGTACTTGTCAAAACAAACATTGTGATGTGGTCTTTATCTTTTATTATACGTTAGTTTTTAGTAGGTAATTTTTCTGGATTATGGCTGCCAAGCTTTCATAACTTCATGAAGTGTGTGGTTTGACACAGTATCAGTCATCTGATGGCTTTAGGAAAAAAATACAATATTCCTGTAAGCTGACTGTTCATGTGGCTGCACAAACAAGAAGTGTTTTCAGAGAGATGTATTCTGTTGTAAAGAAAACCAGTGTTTTGTTCATTAAGCCTTGTGAAGCCCTGATCATAAGTGTAGCCTTAATTGTGTTTGTGTTACTACTTCTCTTACCGTTAAGAAAGCTTGATGTATAAAACTTACTACATAAGTTGTGTTGCTCATGGCAAAATTTTCTATCTGGGCATATGCCTAGTGCTAATAGAAGTGTGCTTAGCAGAGAAAGATGAGGACTTACTCACCTCCACATACATCAAAAGCTAATAGTTGAATGGTATTTTATTTTTTTATCTCTTTTTATCTCCATCTTTCTCTTTTTATCTGATTATAATTTGGTAATGGATATATTGCTTTCTAGTGGTTTAAAGTAATTAGTTTTAAGGTAGGGAGGAAATGATACATAAGTATTTATCTTACTAATCTTTAACAAAATAAATTTAATTTGCTGCCTCAAGAGGGTGCTGTCTGCTAGCAGCTTGAGTTGCAAAAGTGAAGTAATTCCAGTATTCTAGTCTGATTGAGCTTTTATGTTCATAATCCAAGTTGCTTTAATAAACACCTGTTGTTGTTTGTATTAGTTTCTACATGAATTCACAAAATACTGGGAGAAAAGCTTAAAGTGATGTAATTATTTTGTGTTATTACAGTCATTCTCAATTATTTAGTTCTTGTTTACTACTTCTTACTCACAGATTTTGGATCATGAAAGAGGAAAACATTGGTCTGTTTTGCAGGCTGGGGATGTGAAAGAAATGTCCTTCCAGAGGTTCATCAGGCTTGTGACAGGGAAGCTAAGACTTTTGTGTTGCAACTTCACATTAGGCTGCTCTAACCTTGATAACAAGATATTTAACCCTTGAGTAGAGCCACCACTGTAGAGAAAAATATGCATACACATAAAGGAGAATACTGCTAGCAAGATAACAGTTTGGTTCCCTGCCTGATACTTCTGGAGTACTGACTTCTATAACTAGTTATTTTCTCTACCATTCTAGATCTTCTTTAATAAAAATACAAATTATGTTCTGTTTTCATTTTGCCCCATAATCTGGTTACGTTTTTGCCATTGATATTTTCACATGTATTAAAAGGCACGCTGATTTCCTACAGCATGTATTTTTTTCCTTTTGAAGGTATCAGAACGGGTAGAGAGAAGACTTCAGGAGATAGAAGAAGAAATGCGTGCTGAAAGACAGCTCGTAGAAAGGCGCCAGGACCAGCTGGGCCATGTGTCTCTTCAATTACAGGAGGTATGCAAACGAAAGCTTCCCTTGTATTTAGGATTTAGTTGCGTTTGTGAGCCTGTGTCTGTCAAATCGGCAAAAGTGCTCATCACTTGTTTTAACTCTCAGTCCAGCTCACATTGTTTTGATGACCAGATAATACCAAGCACAGTCTCAGTCCTTCATTATATTGTCTTGACTATGTTTCAACCTTTTTGGTAACTGCCACAAATCTTCTAAGAACTTGACCCCTATGCCCTTCCTGAAATCCTAAGCAAAAAAAAGCAAGTTGTTAGCTGGGCTTTTTCAATTAAAAGGTTTTTATTTTCTAAAAGGTAAACTTTGCTTGCTCATGCAAATGAGCACTTTAATTTATTTCAACAAGGAGTCTGAAGCTCTGTAGTGGCCAGACAACTTTTCATTGCTTTTCAGTTTTATTCAACAATACCTGATGAAATAAAAAATACTGTTTAGAAGACAGATAGAAATGTTAAGAATATAAGTTAAAATTTGAGACAGGTATTAGCTTTTTTTTTCTTGTTTTAGAAAACATATGAAAAATACTTATTTCTTTTTGATTTGACTGCTGCTTGGAAAATCTGTGTCTTAACATAGTGTTACTTATTTCACTCCACTTAAGATTTGCAATGTTAACTCTATCTGTGCAATAGGTTACTATACTTGAGAAGAAATATGAAATTCCTTGGTTTTCACTCTTAGTGTTTGCAACATAACTTTTTGGAAGGCTTTATACTGTGCAGCGATACTGAGGGACCTTGCTCATGATGCTACGTATTTCATGTAAAGCTATAGTCTGTTCAAAGATGTCATATTTTAGAGGATGAGATGCTTTTTTTCTATATAGATAAAAAGTAACATTTATCAAAAGGCTTGGAATCCTTTTGCCAGTATTTTAGAAAGACTTATTGTTTCATTTTCTCTCCAGTTCATGCCCTAGTGGGTGAAAAGAACTAGAGTACTGAATTACAGTTTTCATTGCTCTTTAATATGCCTATGTCCACTTCTAGATTCTTCAGTTGTGTCTTCAGACTGGGGAAAGGATGCCTAATGCAATGTATAGGTGTGATTTGATAATGTTATCTACAGAATGGAACAATCTTATTTTATCCTTTTAAAGGATGATACCTTGTATTCTCTAAAGATACATTGACACTGCCATAGTTTCCTTAGAAAGAAAATGTGATGAGTTCAAATGTAGTTCAAAGAATTTTCATATGATCTTTCATAGGTCATATGAATGATCATAGTCTATGTGATCATGAGCCTCCAGGCTGGGTGCCTTTATTCTTGATAGCTCATCTTTTGAATTTCATGCAAAAAGAATATGAAATACTAAGTACATCCTAGACCTTCTATTCCCCTAAGATGTCCAGCTGTGAACTAAAATGGTTTAGTAGTTTCTTCTGTAAATTCTACTTTATTTTTGTAAGTTATTTTTCCTGAGGAGCCCCTTTTTAAAATACAGTTTAAGTTGCAGTGTTTTAAAAAGCATGTACTTGAACTGCCTTGTGTACTTCTGCGTAGCCTTGTGAGAATAAAGTAAATAAATATTTTGCTACAATTGTTACTTGGATGAAATGTTTCTGTATAATTTTGAGCTTGTTATTTTGTTATTCTGTTTCTTGTCTTTGTAATTCAAATTGTGAGTGAGATGGACTCTAAAATCTGACAATGGCCTCAGTCTTACAGTAATCATTGCACAGGCATAATGTTCTATTGAAGTCTCCTTCTGTTTTCATTTATTTCTCCAAGATGCTTCCCAAGTACCATTTCTGGAACGGAGGGTAGTGTTTGGACTGAGTTTTGAATTCTTGTCATTAATATGGTCTGAATGATTTACAAAGAAATACTATTTAAAGCATTTGTGGCTGTTTAATGATATAATTTTTTCATTGGTTTGCATGTTGCACATTTCAAACAAAAACAAATTTTACTTTTGTGTGTTATCAGTAGTTGCTCTAATTAAGAAATTGTGTGACATTTGTGAGGATTAACTGCTTTCTTTTTCAGTGAAGTGCAGTGCCTGTAACTGACCACTGCTTGTCAGTGTTTTACCATCTTAAGCGAATCACCTTCCTAAATTACAACTATTAAATTATATATTTTTAGGATCTAACACAACATGATGATACATTTATTTTGGCCTTTCTCTTGTCTGTCTTTTCTTTCTCTCAGTTTTTTGTATAATGTGCAAACTTATTTGTACTGTAGTATTACATATAACTATAATCATAGACTGATTATGAATCAGGAAGATATCTACGTGTATACTGACCATTAAGAAATATTGACGTATAAAATGTTGTATCTTTAAGTTTTGAATTTGCATTTTTGTTTTGAATCTTTAATCTGTCTGTGCTGTGTGTAGTTGTAGAAAAACTATTTTCTGCACACATTATGTCTGTTTTACCTTAGTGTGTATTGGTACGTTTAATCAGCAATTACTGCAAATTAGAAAATAGCAATTAGCGAACAAATTCATGCAAATTGTATATCTTAATTTTTTCTATATTCCTGATATAAGCATGTTTCTGATTAGAAAGAAGAACAAATATTCTTTTCTTGCTGAGGGTATTGACATGTATATGTGAATTGCTTTAACAACTGCATTTGTTGTGTAAATGGAAACTATTTAGAGATACCTCAGTGCTTCTTTTTCTTTGAATATAAAGACACCGTCACCTCTTACTTTTTGTTTGCATTTTTACATCTATTTTCGAAAACAAGATCAAGTATCATTCTTAAAAATGTTTTCTTTGCATTCTTTTCTGTGTGTTGGATGTCCTGGATGGCTTTAAAAAATTCTGTGCTTGGCTTCCAGGATTTTGGTGAAATGTGTCCGTGTGTTCATGCTTGGCATGCTTTAGGTAAACAGAATCATCATTTTTGAACCTTTTGAATCCACTGACTGTGGTGAGGCAGTGACTGCAGTTACGTCTTAAGCTAGCAACTTGGGTAGGCCAGGAAGCATTTTATAACTTTCTCCTTGTGCAACTGTACACTTAGATTCTCTTTGCCTCTTTCTACAAATAGCGTGAACTGCAAGAAGCTGGTGGACAGAGTGGGGTAAACTGATGGTCAGAAGTGTTATTGAATATTGTTTTTTGCATATCGTTATCACTGATCTCTTTAGACAAACATAAACTTGATCTGTGCTCTGAGCCACCTGGATATTTTAGTGCATTGTTGATACTTGCTCTTTGGCTCTGTGCTATGCCACCTGTGGCCAATGGTTTCTGTTTTGATTGTAGTTTGAATCTGACTCTTGCTTGGAACATGAGCAAGTCTCATACATATGTCACTGAAATAGCTAAGTAGTCCCTTGTTAACTGCCTGGCTGGTATGTTTAGGTAGCATACTTGGAGCCATGCTAATCACTAATGTAGTAAGTTAGGGAAAGTATTTTCATTCAGATTAGGATGTGGTACATTTTTGCCTTACTTTAAATTATAGCTTGAGGCTTTTCTGCTTGTATGTTTGTGATAGTATGAAAAACTTACTGATCAGTCTCACTTTGAAAGAGCAAGTTTCAGTTTGTGGTCTGTACACAGCTTTCAAAAAGTCTGGTTTTATTTAAAAAGAAAAAACAACACAGCAAAACCAAACTGAGACCAAAACCCAAACCCTAAGAAAGTTAGTAGGCTTAAGTTGCTGTAAAAGTTATGATTTGCTCTTGAAAGATTATCATATGTTGGAAAGATTGAGTTGTTTGAACTTGAGTTGTTTCACAATCATTCCCATAGTTTTCGTCATGTATAAGAAAAATTAGTCTATGAAGCAGTAAGTTATGATTTTGAAGTTTTGGGGTTCAATAGATGCTCTGTGTATGCGGATGAGGTATGCCAGTTACATTTGTATTCTAATGCTGTCTTATGCTAGTGAACTCTTTATAAAGACCTGTAAGAATTGCTCTCCTTGGTCAAATCAGAAGTTCATCTAGGCTGACCACCCAGCAGGCAGTGGAACGTGTAGCTGGTCCTTCCCAAATCCATGCTGTGATGACCTCTGTACATGGAAGTTCTCTGTCTTCTTGTGGCCTCCTATATACCTGCCTCCTTCAAGGCCTCATCAACCTTGTCAGTCTCTTCCAGACCAACCCAGACACTAATGCTTTCAGAGGAGGATCTTGGTAGGAGAATCCTGTTGACTGCAGGCCTGTTCCCATTCCTTGGTGCTTCATGTTCTCAGGGCAGTGTCTGCCTGCTCTTTGGGAGCCATCAGGGAAGAGTGTGTGCTTGAACTGTTGTCCTTAGCATGCTTTTCCTAGTTCCCATTTTTGACATTTGACTTCCTCAACCCCTTCTTTGGGGACAACAAATGAAATCAAAGAATCAGTTGGATCTTTACTTGTTTTGTTTGGTTTTTTCTTTTACCCCTCCCAAGAGAAAGCTTATATAGTGATCTTTAGTGGAGAAAAAACGAGTGTCGCCCAAAACAATATGAGAATATTATTTAAAAAGGAGTACAGAAAGGAGGCGAGACAAAATTAGCTTTTACCTGAATTTCTGAATTGTTAGTAACAGTTGACATTTGTCTGGGCTGTGGATGACCTGGTGTTTCCATTTCCTTATGACATTTTGATTAACTGCTTCCCTGGCACCTACTGGTACAGTGCATGTTTCATGGTCTGAGTAGTGCACATGTAGTATGTTTCATTTACTGTAACATTACTTCTTTTTTGCAGTATTTTAACACTGGGGTATCTGTCTATATCTCTCTCTATATATGAGCTGTTATTTTCCTTAAAATGAGATGGCTACGGGCTGTTTTTACAATATGCAGAAAATAAAACTGAAGGTTATATTTATAGTATCAGTTACAGTAACGGATGCATTTCTGTTTGAAATTATTCCTATTTAATAGCCTGAATATCAGTCAGTGAAGTTGAAATGGCATATTTATTTCCATGGTTTCTTTTGGGAATTAGGATGTGTTACTGATGCAGAGACATTTTTTGGTTTCAGCAGGAATAATCTTTGAAAATTTTACTGGTATTCCTGAATCCAGCCCAGCTGTAATATTTTCTTTAGGATTCTGACCTCTCTAGCCAAATTTGTACATTAAAACATGCATGTTTGGTACTATGTTAATTATTAATTTAGTGCCAAGAGTAAAGTTGGCCTAAAGTTGACTGTCATAACAAAGCTTCTATTTTTGCTAGTAAAACTGATGGTCGATTTCAGTTAATAGACATCATATATTCCAAGTAGGCTGTTCTGAACCAATACTTCTGGTCATTGAAAATAAACAAAGAAAGAAACACAATCCAAAACAAAAACCCAATGAACTTGGGTAATGCAAAAAACAGCATTAGCTGAAGAGACATTCTTAGGCTTTTGTTCATGTTGCTTTTTGGGACTTCTCCCAGGAGCCTTTTTGAGTAAAATGTGTACATTGTTGAGTTTTATAGTTGACTGGAATGATATATTTAAATCTCTGAATACTTAGGAAACTACCTTAAATGTGTTACAGTATTCTATTATCTGATTAGGCATCAGTATGACTAAAAGTATAACTCTTTATGTGGCATAATATTTTCAATGGCATAGTCATGATTAATGTCTTCCATGGTCTCAGATTTTAATGTAAGCTGTTCAGGCAGAAGAGTAATCCAAACTGTACTGAAACCCTTAGGTTTTCTGAGGTGAGATTGTAAGAGGGAGGTAAGTATATAAAGCCATTTATTTTCTCCAGAAAGCTACTTTTAAAGCCAAAACTTGTAAAGCTGAATGCCTTGCTTCACTGAAGTTGATTAATATCTTGTATTCTGTTTCCATACACTGAAATTGCTCTTCAGTGTACAGTGAGGAGAAAATGTTCAAAAATTGAATGAAATAGCACAATTTATAGGGACAGATTTCAAGGAAGATAGGAGGAGATTCTCCTATAAATGCAAAATGAAAATGTTGCTTGGAAATGACAGACTGGGAAAAAGAACTTTATTTCTAGAAAGGCTATGTGTTTTTGTTGTTGTTCTGTTGTTGTTTTAGTGATTAATTATGGAAAGAATAAATGTACTTATGCTTCAAAATATGGGATGAAAGAAAAAGATTTGTGCTCAGGTACCTAATTAATTGATTTGTGATTAGTGTGAAAAATGCTTGGTCATGTTGCGCAGATAAAAACTGTGATTTATAAACAGTTACAGAAATTCATGGCAAATTATCAGTATATGGCTACTGATCTCTTTCAGCTGATGTTTCCAAGTGATATTTAAAATGACCCAATGATGTTACCATAGCTTGAGATATCTAAACTTGGTATGTCTGTCATGTCTAATACTTCCTTTGCCAGTGATTAGCTGTGTTTTGCAAATAGTGTTGGTTTGCAGAGGGACAAGATTTTGAAAGTGATATTTAATGCATTTTATTTTTGTAAGATGGTTTATAAAGTGTACACATGTGATTTTAGATACCTCAGTCTGAGAGGGAATGGGAAAAGTCCCCATGGATTTGTTTTATTTTTTTGTTATTGTTGTCAAGGAAGGGCACATCAGTGTTGGTAGTTTTTGATCAGGCAAGTTTCAGTTGATTCAGTTGTAGTTCTACGGCTTTAAGCTTCTGTCCAGATTCAGAAGAAATAACCTTTTCCTTTTTTTTTCTTTTGACTTCTCACACAACCCTATGGTAGTGTTTTCTTGACTACAGTGCATTGAATTTCATAACATGCACACTTTATGTTAGAGAGTATATTCTTTTTCTCTGTATGTGCACAACTAATCTGTAGGGGATCTCTTGAGCCTTTTAGACCTTAATCTAAAGGTGTTTGGGGTCAGCTTGAGAGTCTGGAGCTCTATACATCGGAAGGATGTTAGTGCTGCTTTAGACTTTGTGTTTGTCCCTGTTCTCTGCATGGGTGTGTTTATGTATGCATGAACTTATATTTATCTTTTCATAACAATATACATTGGCTTTACATGGAAATGTATTAGATGCAGACAGAAAGCATTTGTCTAGATCTTCTTTCTTAAATGCATCAGCAGATTCTTTATTTTAACAACCTTGGAATGATGGCTTCTGTAAATTTCGTGATGAAGTTTGCAATATGTTTTTCTCCTCTAAAGGTTTTAAGGAAGCAAGATGTTAAAGAAGATGAAACAGAACTCATGAGAAACAAACTTGTGAAATATGAAAGCGAAAAGCACCAGGTAAGACTTAATTTTTTGCGTTTTGTTTGGTTTTAAATGAGTGTAGTATAGTGTCATCTGTTACAGTATATGCTTCTTTTTTCTGAGAAACCAGCAGAACAAAACTTACATTACTCTTTAAGAATTCAAGTTGTGGGATTATTTTCTGCATCAGAGGAACTGTGAATATAGCTATGCTCCGCTTGTGTCTCTCCTTCAAAGCTCTTCAGTTATAGTATGTTACTTCTAATGACTCTTCCATCCTTCCAGGCAGAAAAATTTATAAATTGGGCATTATCCTCTATTTCTTTATATATTTTGTCTCTGAATTTGTATGTAGTCTGCTGTTGCTTATTTGCAGCAGCTCAAAGCAGCTTTTCTTCATCCCTGCAACTAACTCATGCTGGCTATTTTACACCTTAGTTATTATTAATACTCTTACTGAACTGTTGCCATATTTCACTCTTTCTTTTCGAAGAAAACAAAATTTCTTGTATTTCTATTCTAGTAGGATGCTAGGGTTGTGTTACGCTTTCCCTGGTTTTTTTTCCACTTGCATCAAGTTTAGCATCTTTCAAAGGTATCTCCCTTTATTCTAAGTCTTCATGTAGTGTAGTGTTTTATGTAGTGTTTTACGTTATGTTGTTCTCTTCATTCCCTTAATGTTGGTCCTGTTTACTTTGCCCATTTGCCAGGCTTTCAACATCCTCCTTGAGATTGCTATCTCTACAATAACAATTTCTTCTGTCAAAACCTCTATTTATTTCCAAGTGGATCTTTGAACTATTTATAGAAGTCAAAAAATATTTTGAAGCTTTTGCTTTCGTGTTTTTTTTTTGTTTTGTTTTTCATGGTCATCAGTTTGATGACTGTTTCTGGTTACACATTTTGAATATTATGTTTTTAGGAAAACTTTCAGTTTTATGAAATTTAGGGTGCTTCCAGTTTTTAGTCATCTTGTTTCCAGAATAATTGAAATACATCCTCTTGCACAACACAGAAACCCCACAGATTTTACCAATTACAGTTCTGCCAATGCATGTCATCTTTAACACTTCTAGGAATAAACTATTTACCAAAGGTGGCTTAAAATGTTAAGTCATTATTAATTTTGAGTTTGAAACTGTGTTTCAAATCTAGGGACAATGTTTTTGAAACTTTGTTAAAACTTATCTTCCATTTTTTTTACTTTAAACCCAGTAAAAATTTGCTTTTGTGATTTTTGTTTTGGGTGATATAAATTATTTTATATCTTTATATGACCTAGAATATTGTACAAAAATTATAGCCTGTAAGTAAAATTCTCTTTATGTAATTTAAATAAATATTGCAGGCGTTTAGTACAAATGAAGGTTTGCTTGAAATTTTGGACAAAAATACTGGTTTTATACCACATTTTTAGATAGATGCTTATAGATGAATTTGTGTCAAAATTAAATATTAAAATACGCTTTTATATTATGATACCTACATTACTTTTTTTTTCTTCATCATCCTCTGAAATGAAAGCTTGAGCAGGAATTGGAGCAGTCCCGGAAAAAGTTGAGTGAATCTGAAGGCAGTAGAGAAGCTCTTTTGCATCAGGTAACTGCTTTAGTGTGGTAAAAATCCTAAGGTTTTCATATTAGGTTGTGTATGAGTCTTTTTATTTAATATTCTTATCTCATACTCTGATAAAATTGTTTCATGAAGGAAGACATGAGGTATAGGAAGACAGGTTTGAGTGTGTGTAATATGTGGATTGAGCTCGTTATACTTTTTCTGCTTTCCAAACTTTTATGACTATATGTTCCTGTGTATTAATTATAGTAGTAATAATAATGGTATATTTTCAGTACATAAACACATTATGTGAAATTTCCTTTCATAATATGCTTTAGAACTACTCCTGTATTAGTAATCATTGTTCTGCAAAGCATGTGCTATAATTGGTGTAATCAGATAAATCAATGACCTAGAAGTATTTGCTACTTTGTAACATGCAATAAAAGCAAATAAATACCTGAAAAAGTATCTAAAGTATGCTTAAAATAATAGCTATTGATGTATGTATGATTAAACTTAAAATTTGTAGGAATTTGGAATATAACTTTAGAAAAAAGTCCTTTCTCCTAAACATCTTTCCTTTAGAGGGGTTGGAAAAAAATACTAAAATAACTAGGGAGGGGGCAATTGTCATTCTCATCTTTTAGCATTTGTTGTTTGACTTGTGTATCTAACAGAAGTTTGAGTTAGCTGTATTACAGCTTTGAATTTAAATAATTGTGAATGGAATAGAGAGTAATATGAATTAGAGGTATTTTTCTTCAATTCAACTTGAGCATGTTGGATTTTCTCTATTTTCTTACACGCTGTCATCTTTCTAATAGTATAGTATAGTGCTACATATGATAGAAAGGAAAATCATGAATAGCCCCTGTGTTTCTTATGAATATATACATTCTGTTTTTAAGGAGTACAATTTAAATAAAACATACTGTTTATTAAATTTGTACAGACGTTTTCACTAGCTATGTAAAAAGACAATTGCAGCATATAATATGGTGGCATTTTGTTTGGTCTAGAGAAATTAATGCTCATCGGTGGTCAACATAAATTGTTTCCTTTAATTTTGAATAATCAAATTGTGGCCTGTAGGAAGTAGTTTGTCTTTTTGTTTACCATCTGCAGTACTCTCAAGATGTATTTTTATAAATGTTTTTTTGTGTGTAGTATTTTTTTTTAGCATTTAATGGAAGTATGGTATTTATTACTTTTGTTGTGTTTTTCATTAAACTTTTGATGTTTATGCATATATTAGATTGAGGATCTTCGATCTCAGCTTTTGAGAGCAGAAGAAGACCGTGTAGAATTGCAACATCAAATCTCATATGCTGCTATGCGTCGCCAGAGCTATCAGGATGTACAAGATGATGACAGGAGAATTAGAGCAGGTACAACTAATATTTTGCACTGGAGACCTTCAAGCTAGTTCGTAGGCATGGACATTAGTTTTATCTTAGAGCTGCAGTCTAATTCTTCTATTGCTTTGACAAAACCAGCCAATTAATTCCTCAGATTTCAGTTAATATGTATTGGCACCTGAATATTAATAGACAAATAGCAATGACATTATGTGCATTATGGTACAATGTTTTAATTTGCATGGTTAAAACAAATGAGACAATTTTAGCAAACTGAATAGTGTTTTTACAGAAGAAAATTGTGTATTATTTTTAAGTAAAAATTTTCCAGAAAAGTTGCATTTCAGTCCATTTGCAGTTTGATTTCTGCCATCTTGAAAATCATAATAGGAATCATTTATTAGGTAGTTAATAAGGCTGATGACTTCCTGGTAGAATTTCTAAGCCACCTGTCCCTGAATGGGTAAGAAAATTTTTCTGTATGATACAGTCAGGGCTTCTGTTTGCACTATGTTAGAGTTTTAGAGTTGGAATAGTTTTATTTAGAAGATGAATGCTTTAAACAATTTCAAGATATAATTGCATATTAAATTACCACTTTAGCAAGGTCTGCAATTAATTGCGTTATCTATCTGTATTTAAACTTTTCAAACATAATCAAATAGATACAGACTTTCTCTAATGACTTTCTTCTTATTACCATAGCACTGTATTACTCAAGGTAATAGAGAAATAGTGACTCTACTCTAGAGTCCAGTGTCTATGGGATTATTTAATTGCTTTGGCTAATGACATATTGTCGTATTTTTGTACTTCACCTTCTGAATTATCTCGGTTTTTAAAACACACCCCTGACTCTGTGTTTTACAAACCTCATACAGAGCACTGGAAATGTGCTTAACTTCAGAAGTATAATGCAAAATAATAATCTCAATAGTTTTTTCTCCAATCATGTTAATGTATCTGCTTAGTAGTTTATTTGAAACAATATGCCTTTCATATTAATAAAAGCATATTTTAACTTTCCTATTGATCTTATAAATCAAAACAGTTTTAAAAATATGAAGAAAATAAAAATGTGAGGTAACTGTTAAAATACGTGCATACATTTATATAATTTGGTTGTTTCACCTTGCTGTGTTATTCCTGTTTTGTCAAAGATATATGCGTAGAAGACAAGTAGAGATTTTTTTTCCTTTTGCCTCTAGTAGTTATTTATGACTTAAGACCTTTGAATTTCTGATTGAGAGAATTTATAGCTTACTCTTATCAAAATCTTTGGTTGTAGTTTCAGGATTCAGACATAAAATTCGCAGATAATGTGACTTTCAAATTGGGAGGTATTACTCTGGTGAGACAAAAACTTGGCCTTGAAGCTGATGGCCAAATTTCATTTACACCAGAACTTGCCCACTGTTTCTTCCATCCTATTTTATTTTATTCAGTTTTGCTGCAGCTTTGGTTGTTTTGGTTGGCTTTTTATTTGAGGAGAGCAGCTGTGTGCAGGGGGAAGAGTGGAAACCCCTATAAAAAGATGAAAAGTACTGTTTTATTCTGTTATTAAAATGTTATTAGTTTATGATACAGGTATACAGTTTTTTCACAGATGTTTTGATGAAAATCAGTAGTTGTAGAATAGTCTCAAGTGGAGAAACAAATTGCCAGAAATTAATTGAGATAAAATTAATATACCATGAGTTTGTATTTCTACTGAATGTGTTGCTCTGTTCTTACTGTTTTACAGTAGCTGAAAAATATGAGAGAGAGAAGCAAGATCTAGAGAAACATATTTTGGACCTTAAAGCAAAGCTGAATCACAGTGCTGTAATGTCAGAGGTAGAAGACCTGAAGAGATGTATAGAGCGCAAGGACAAGGAGAAAGCACAGCTTGTAATGCACATACAGGTAAGGTGGGTTTTGTTGGTTTTTGCTTGATAGTGTTTTATTTTTTAAATAATTTTTCATCTGTTTAACTTTAGGTGATATATCATGGATTAAACTTTGAAGCTAAGAGTAACTGTCATGCTCATTATTTATTGTGTAAAAACTTTGAAAAATTATTTGAGTATGCCAACTTTTTTCTGTGCCATGAAATACCAAAAAATGTATTTGCTATTGCCTATGATTTCATGGTTTGGATTACTTCTCTTTCCCACATGGAAAGAAAAGTTGATCTGATCTTATCAGCACTTACTGTTAATAATGGTTTTTGGAACTACTTTTATAAGGTAGTACTTACTTTCTTATTCCCCATTTCATCATTCCTCAGAACTGAAGTTCAACTTTAAAACTTGAAATACCTTGTTCTCTGAGAGAGTGTAGTAGAATAACAAAAGTAGGTCACAATTTCCCTTTTTTTAGTAATTAAATTCAATATAGTAATATAATCATAAGTAATAGTAGTCTTCTTTATGGTAAGCATATCATAATGTTTAATGTGATTATCTATGAGAAGGATAGCAGCAGCCATTTGTACTGGAATTTTAGTTAGAAGACTTTGACCATAAAATGAGATCTAAGTAGACAGTAGCATTCTTATTTAAGATGGGAAGTTTCTATATTTCTTGTTCTTGTCTAGATTTGTCATTGATAGTAGAATGCCTGAACAGTACCAATTTTCTTCTGTCTTCTGTAATTGTCAGGAGAAAAGAGTTTGTTTGCAAAACTATGTGTATTAATTCAGTAGTCAAGGACTTCACTTTTTGTATTTTAGCGTTCTGTAAGCAAGGGATTTTGTATTTATTTTCCTGATGAAGATACTTATCTATGAAATGATACTGCAAACACTTTGGAAATTCAAATGTAGGAATTTATTTTTTTGTCTTCATGGATTTTCATAGATTTACAGGACTATACTCCTCAGTTTACTTCTGTTGCTCCTTTACCTTGTCAGTTTCTCTGCTGATTTAAATCAAACTAATATATCAAATTACATTTGGAAAAAAATGGCCATCTCAAACTAAGTTCCTACATGCTTTATGAAATTTGATCACTGAATAAGCTTAGAAAGACCTAAAGTGTTTCTGCAGAGGGTAAGATGAGCAGAACTCATTTCCCGGTGTCCATCAGCATTTGTATTCTAGCTGGTCAATAAAACCCATGACTAACTGAAAACATTCTGGATTTTTATTTTGTTGTGCCTGAGAAACTATTTTGGTGACAGGAATTAATGGGCTAAGAACCCACATAAAACAAATTATTTCAAACTTCTGCTTGTAGAACATGCTTTCTTAAGGGTCAGAATGATTTTATAATACTAATTTCCTGCCCTGAAAATACTCATGCAATAGTGCTCAGCTGGGGTCATTGTCATTTCTCTGAGTTAGAAATCTTTGACTTCCCTCATTTTCTCAACAGAAAATACTTTGTACTTCTTATCTGCTTCCCACTGCCTTTCTCCTACAGGGACAGTAACAGGAAAATAACTAGTGTGTTTTTCTTTTAATGAGACATCAAGGAATGCAAGGATGTGAATTTCTAAACTTGTGTACTAACAAAGCATTTTGTCAAGCCTGTTCTAACAGCTGCTCCTGTCAGATAGTCTGATTCCCAGTTGGAAGTGACCAGTCATGTTTGACTTGGGTGTGATTTATCTTTGTTTCGTGGGGAGAATCTAACTTGCCTCTGATGTACATGTGATACTAGAAATTTCTTTTGATTTATTAAAATGTCATTGTTTGCAACAATTTGAGTTGTGTGAATTGTACATTTAGCCTCCAACAGTTGCCATAAAATCACAGTGTGATCTAAAATGGAGAGGATGAAAAAGGTTAAAACGTATTCTTAAGCTCATGTTTAGAAGTGAATTCAATCTTAAATTAGTTTTAAAATTGAATATTTATTTCAGCTACTCTAGTTTATGTAAGGGAGTGGTTGTGAGATCTTCCAAATGTATATAACTGCCATAAATACGTTTTTCTGCATGAAGCCAAATAGATACGGGGCTGTTATGGCTAACTATTAAGATTGAACTATTACAACTAAGAAATAAGCAGAGTACACAAATCATAAAGATGCAATACCCTACTTTCTCCATAAGTGTTTTTGGACTCTTTGGAGTGTTTTTGACTCTTTTACCCTGGGAACTTGTTTGATTTACTAATTACTCTTCATTTGGATTTGGTGTTAGTATTCTTACAGTATTGCCCAGTACAGCAGTCAGTTTGTCAAAATATTTCAGTTTTTCTGAGGGAAAATTATTGATATGTTTAATTAATGTTAGAATTCTTCAGTAATATAAGTCTTTCTGTTTTATAAATATTGATTCATATTCTCACTAAAATTTACTTTTACTTTTTCTTCTAAAAAGAAGCCCTTTTAGATCAGAAAGAATTTTGGCAACTGCACTCATGCTTAACACAGAGATTCACATTTATCATACATAACTAGGAATTCAAAAGCACAGATCACTACACTTGGGTCTCCTGTTTTGATACAGAAACAGAGTGTGGAGATAGTTCCTCTGTTCTCTTGCTTTACAGGGTTGGCTTAATGAAATGTTGACTTGCTGTGAAGCTGTTTTCTACCTGATTTCAGCTGTTGGGTCTGTGCTGGCTTAACTCTTTTAAGAAAAGTGCAAACTCTTTGTTAAGGTTTATCTAATTTACACATATGGTAAAAATAAAATATTAAAAGTAATTTCATATTGGTACATCTATGTCAAAATCCAGTTTTCCTCCCCATGCAAATAGCTCATGTTGATAAATTAGTTGTGCTTCAAGGTAACTATCTAAAACAAATGTTCCTCTTTTTATTATACTGTAAATCAATAAATTGGAGGTTGATTTACTTCTACACAATAAGAGGAATGTTTACAGTTAATTGAACATTATTTTCTGTGTTTAAAATCAGACTCATATTTCATTAAAAAGTTTGTGGGAATAGTAGTTTTGTTAATGAAGTGTGTACTCTGGGGAACTTATAGATAACTATTAAATAGTTATAACTATATAACTATTTTTTAATGGTGCAACATCGAGTACTACATCAATTTAGTCTGACATCCTCTATGGTGTCTCCAGAAAGACATAAAATAGGAAGGGATAATAGCATGTGTAATCACATGACTGAAAAAATGATGACCCATTTTAGAAAATCTGTGGAACAGTAAATGTAATATCTGATTGTATTTTATGAGGCTATTTTTAATTTCTGCTATACTCAATTTAAATCTTTGTCTTTAAAGAAATATTGTAATCTGTTTTCATTGGAAATTAAGCTTGTTTTGATTAAAATTTTTCTAGTTATAGCTTATGAGCTTGATTTGGTTATCTTTTTAGCACAGCAAACACTATCTTGAAGAGATTGGTACAGTTTACTGCCTCCTAGGAGATGTTGGCCTGGTTTGGAAGGAGAAAAAAAACCCCAAACTGACAAGGAGAAAGCCCTTACCAACAAACCCAACTCTCCCTCCTTTCCCCAGCCTTGTGGAAGTATCTTTGTCTAAATTGTCTTTCTATATCTATCGTTAAAGTTCTTCATTTTTTCACAGATTCCCTTGTCCATTTTGCATTGCAGTCTGTTTATTTCAGGCTGCATTTGCTGGGTTTTTTTTCAGTCATTCTGAAATCTAATCCTCTTTAAAATATTTCAATCCCCTGAGGCTTGATAATATGTTTGACTGGCTATAGATCAGGTCTGTCAAATTTATCTTTCATTAATGAAAAGGCTGAATGGTATGAAAACAGTCTAAATAAGCCCAAAATGCAAAATATTAATGTGAATTTCTGTGTGATGATCTCAGTAAAATACATTTTTGCTAGTGTACCTTCAAAAACTGGTTTCTGAGCATGTCATTTCAGAAGGTGTATGGTCAATATTATTCCTGAGTTTCTTATGAGACTGTTCAGAGAAATATGATTTGAGAAATGCAGCATCTTTTATCTTTAAAAGGTGTGTTTTCAATTCAGTTTTGAAAGGCTTATGTGTGCCTCCTACGTTTTCAAACGTCTTTGTTCTAGAAGCATTTACTGAGCTGCTGTATTCTCTTTGTATTTAGTGCTATCAAGTATAAATTTATTTAGCACATTATTTTCATAAAGGGAACCAGCATAAAACTGGGTAACAACTAGCTCATAAACTATAAATTCCAGTGGTTGTGGTGAATGTTGTTTTGTCCTTTCTGGTTCTCCTTTTCCTCTCATCTGTTTACATTAATCACCTTATGTCTTACTATTGGGTTTATTTCCTATTTGTGTAGTGTGTAATATATGGCCAATGATTGATCTCAAACTTACAGTACAGAAAAATAACAAGAACAACCAGAGGAGGAACAAATGCAGAAAAAATTGATTAGTATGTATTTTATGTCTTGTGTTGGCATTCTCTACCATTCCAGAGGGAGAGATTCTCTGGGCTAAGAGGACTTCCCTTGATAGTCAAGAAGATCTTTATGCTGTTCATATTTAATAAAAATGTGATTTAATGTTGCTGTATGTTGTTTGATAAAGTTTCATACTGCATATCTTTAGAGAATGTTTGTATTTTGCTATGATGATTCCAGGTGTTAACTTCTGACCTGGAAAACAGGGAGAAGCAGCAGGAAAAAATGCTGGACCAGCTAAAGGAGATACAGAACTGCTACAAGGCTTGTGAGAATGGGCGCAGACAAACTGAACTCCAGGCTGCTGAGTTAGCTCAACAGGTTGAAGAGAGTACCAAGGAAGCAGAACGGTATCTCACTGAATTCAAGCACTCAGAGGCACTCAGGCTGGAGATTGAGAAAAAAAGAGAAGATTTGAAGGTGAGAGCCCAGGAAACCATCCGCCAATGGAAGCTGAAGTGTAAGAAGTTGGATCATGAGAATGAAAAGCAAAATCAAACTATCAGTGAACTGATGGACAAGAATAGTCAGGTAAGATTGGTTGATGTTTTTTGGTACCTTTTCCCTTTGTTTTAAAAATGAAGAGAAGGAGTTTGTTTATGCTAAGTGTGACTTAAACTGCTTTCTGCTTTAAGTTCTGGAGCTCTTCTCTATAATTTTCAGAACTTTTTCTTTGAAAAATCAATTTGAAAATTCATTGTGTAACATTTTTGGGTTTTTCCTTTGTCTTTGTTCTGTATGGCAGACCATTTATTCCTCTCTTTTTTCTCCTCTAGAATTTCTCAGGAAAAAACATAGGTTTTTTTGGGTTTTGACTTAGAACTATTCCTTTATTTGTTCAGCTGCTGACACTGTTTTAAAGACAAGCACTCACATCAATGCTAATGTTTATCATCCTCTATTGGAATAATAGTAGAAACCACCATTCTGTTGGCAATGAGTCTGTGGGTCCATATTTTCCAGTGGCTGGATCAAACGTTGCTTGTTTCCATAGTGGCTGATATAGTGCTTAACTCTATGCGGTGAGCTTTTATCTTGGCTTACATGCCCTGCTGGTGCAGTCTATCATATTATATGGCTTTTGTTTTACAGTGCTGTACCCTCTCTTCACGTGTTTTCTTATGGCATCCATCCGGTTTAGGTTACTGAATGTGATGGGCTTGAGATGGCTCCATCCTCTGCTTTGTCTTGCTCAAAGACTGAGGTTTTCAAGGGCTAAATGGGATGCAGTATGGGATGTCTATTAATCCTGTGTTGTTTTTGATCCAATGATCTGTTCTGAGATTGGTACATGAATATGAGCATGGTCAAAACACAGGAGAAGTCACAATGGGGCTATTACTGAGTTGAAATTAATAAACTCTAGAAAAATCTAAACTGTGCTTGCTGGTGTTGCTGTTTCTCTCCTATTGCCTATCATATTCCTTACTTTTTATTATTATTTCCTCTATCCAAGTTCCAACACTTAATTCTATAGTAATCGTGTATTTGTTAGCCCTAGCACTTGTCTGGAAAAGTAAGATTCTCAAACATTTAAGAAGTTGGTCACTCTGGCCTAAGAAAATGGAGGTTGTAAGGAGAGGCAGAAAACCTGAATAATTTCAAAATCATGGATGTCTGTCAAATGGACAAATGAGAGGCAAAAAGTAGAGACAAATTGTGAATAAGAAGCAGTAGCTCCCGAAAAGGTTCTGCAATCACTGTTCTTGTAAAGACATAGGTTGGTCTTTATAGAGGCACTTGATAACACTGCCCATGTTGAAATTTTCTTTGTTATGTAAGATTCCTTGATATGGATTTTACCTCTTTTGATGTGGCAAGTATATTCACATGCTAAATACAGTGGTTAAACTTTGGCTTAAGCTCCATTTAAGAAATGCTGTCAGAATTTGTTCTTACTTTTAAAGTTGTGACCATCCTGCCAACAGATTTGTGGTAATTGTCACTGGTGAAGAAAGTTTCTTTATTTTAAGTTATAGAAGAACAAAGAAGCTGTTTGTCATTGTGAAGGAGAAAAAAGTGCAAATCTAGATACAGCATTTAGTATAAGCTTGAGGTAACTAGATGAAGATAATTTAACTAGCTTTGAAATACAGACAATTAACATCTGAGACAAAAATCTGTAAAAACAATAAAGGAAGAAATGGCAGTTTTGTTGTCTTTGATTTCTGTTAGAAGATTTCAAAGGGTTGATGGAAAAATTTCAAAATAGGGTTGCAGTCATAGCTTGCAATTTTGAGATTTTTGAAATATTGGCAGACAATGGATGTGCTATAGAAGGATTGTTTAGGTTTCATTCTTTTGAAGTTACTGGGATAATTTGGTTGAAGTTTTGCCCATGTAGTTGTCCTTAATATTGTTTGACAGTGGAGTTTCTGACATCTTTTGAAACATATGTTCTTTAAAGTATGTAATGTAGAAAACATACACAAAACATACAACAAATAACTTATGGGTTGTAGTTTGAAATTTTACTGGAGTTTTGTTTTTGTTTGGTTTTTGGTGGTGTTTTGGGTTTTTTAAGCCAAATCCTTTGAGTAGAATTACAAGATAGGTTTAGGAGGGTCTTTTTGTCTGGTGGGTTTTTTTTCTGGAAAAACCCATGATGGTCATCAGTCCGTGTTCTCAGTTTATTGTATTTGCATTTTGCGTTGTGTTGCTTGTTCTTGATGTAATTGCAAATTGTTTTATTATTTTTAACTGTACACTTTTAACCCTAATTGCCTTTTTTTTCCTGGATTGTTTCAAGTAATTTTGCTATATCCATAAGAAATGTGCATTGCTTGTGGAATTGGTGAAAATGCTCAGTAAAATTTAGTATAAAATTGAAGTCAGTATAAAGAATCTGATATATTGGAACAGATTGCCCAAATTTGTTGCATAGTTTCCCTCACTGAAGTTATTCAAGAACCATCTGGATGCCATCCTGTGCCTGTGTTCTAGGATAAGTCTGCTTGAGCAGGGAGGTTGGACCAGATGACCCACTGTGGTCCTTTAAAACTTACATATTCTGTGATTCTGTGTTAATTTTAACATGAAATATATCAATGTTGGAAAAAACACCCAAGCCCTGAAGATCCCAGGAAAACTGTGGAATTTTTGTTGCTTTATTTTACTTGATTGATTTCTGTTTGGGAGATGATGTCATTATTTCTTGGCTTTGATGCATAAGTGAACCAAGATTTCAACTGCTACTAATTCATCTACTGGGCATAATTTCAAAAATAAGTTAAAGTTAGTATACTTTCTGGGTAATATTTTAGAAAATAAACAAAATAAGTCAGCATATGGAATGGACTGTAGGCACGGTGTATATGTCCAGTAGTCATCCCTGTATGCTGCTGCATTACTCTATTACCTCATTTTCTCCATCTTGCTATTTGGAGGAACCAGTAAGGAAACACTTGTCAGTCTGCAAAGAGAGAATATGAGAAGCAGAGAATTAACCAGAACTATCCTTATTTAGAAGGTTATATAATTTAAGTCCAAGTTTGAGATTGCACATGATCTGTGTGTAAATTTAAAGAAACACTGAGTACACTTGAACTGAGTTCGTAGCAAGCAAAATTTTTATATTTTTGCTTACATATGTTAATTGTTCCATAGACATTCCTGATGTCTAAGGATATCCTTCCAACAATTGTCTTTAATTACTTCAGCTCAGAATAGGTTTTTTTTTTTCCTTTTCTAGGCCCTTAAAGAAAAAGATGATCTTAAAAGTCAGCTTCTCTCAGCTATAAACCAGATAGAAAACCTGCGGAAAGAGCTGAATGATGTGCTTACAAAGAGAGCCCAGCAGGAAGAACTTCTCCACTGTAAAGAGGTAAAACTGAATGAAATGGAGTCACACCGGGTATCTCTTGAAGAAGAGATCAAAGAAGTTCAAGGTACTGTAAAAAAATTGGAGAATGAGTTGAAAAATCAAGTCTTTCTACAAAATCAAATGCAAGCTGAGAAGGAACACTTGAAGACAGAACTTGTGAATATTAACTTGTTTCATAAAAAAGACCAAGAACGACTCCTGGAAATGCAAGCAGATGTAAAACATTTAAGCACCGTACGTGTGGAACTAACAAACAGAATTGCAGAAGAGGAGAAAGCCAAAAAGGAATTACTTAAGAGGCTCTCAGACCTCCAGAAACAGCAGGAATCTAGTCATGAAGAGATGATTTCAGCTAGCAGGCAGCTGAAGATGGAAAGAGAAATTCACCAACAGGAGTTGGCAGATCTTAGATCAGAATTACAGAATGTGAACATCAAACATGAACAAAATGTTCAAGAACTCACGAAAATCCTTAAACAAGAAAAAGATGATGCAGAGGCTCAAATTAGAATGCTAAAGGTACTCATTGTGAAGAATTCCATTGTCAGACTTTCCCCCTCCTCCCACACACTCCACACACAGCCCCTGCCCTTGAATGATGAAGGTAATAAAGCATGGGCTTTAAAGCACTTAACACACGTTATTGAAAGCCATTGTAAGAGTTTAAAGTTCAGGGTAAAAGTATTACAGTACCAGTTTTAGGTTAAAATCTTTGTTCAAAAATGGTAAAATACATATGAACAAAATAAAAGGAAATTATGATGCTGTAATGTTTTAATGTGGCAGACAGGTGAATTCCCAAGTGACTGGAAAGGGGGAAGCATTGTACCATAGAGTCACTGCAGGACACCATCTTTTAAAAGAGTAGAAAGGAGGACTGTGGGAGCTCTGACCTGTCAGCCTTCTCTCTTCTCCTGGGGAGATCATGGAACAAAACCTTTTGGAAGCTATGCTAAGCCACATGGAGGACAGGGAGATGATTTGAGACAGTCAGCACAGCTTCACCGAGGGCAAGTCCTGTCTGACCAACACAGTGGCCTTCTCTGATGGAGTGACTACATCAGGGGATAAGAGAAGGGCTGCAGTTGTCATTTATCTGGCCTTCTGTAGTGTTTGACACAGTGCCCCACAACATCCTTCTCTAAATTGAAGAGGGATGGATTTGATGGGTGGGCTGTTAGATAGATAATAAATTGGCTCAATGGTCACATTCAGAGGATTGTGGTCAGTGGCTCAGAGTCCAGATGGAGTCCTGATGTACAGCAGTGATGAGTGGTGTCCCTCAGGGATCTGTGTTGGGAGCAGTGTTTAGTTATGTAATGTATCATTCATGACTCAATAATAATTCTTAAGCAATTGGTAACATAGAAACCTTTAAGTGAAGAAAGCAATAAAAACCCCCTAGGTGGTTGTAAGTAGAAGGATCATTAAAATCAAATGTTTTGACAGCAGTGCTTAACTTTGGAGACCTAATTTTTAGTGTGTATATCATTATTTAAGTGGTCTGTCCAAAAGTGTTTTCTTCTTTGGCAATGACATTGAAATTAAGAGTTTATATTTGATATCAAGTGGAAAGAAGGAAAGTATATTCTGGATGCTAATAAGAAAAAATAAGTTGATTGTGACTTTGTTTTTCTATGAAACAGCAAATCCTATAGTTAGGACCTTTTTATTTTTACTGATTGTTGAACCTAAACAGAGTATTAAAAAAATTCACTTTGATATTTCATTTATAGTCCCATGACTTCCCCAGAATCCTAAACTGGCATATATTTAAGAGCAGAAGGTTTGAGGGAGGTGAATTTTCCAAGATACTAGGGTAGGCAAATTTTTTATAACAATGCAACAATGATAATGCACAAGATTCTCTTGATTAAGAGACTGTAGATGAAACAAAATCGAAAATCATATGCGTCTTTAGGAAGATCTGATGAGAACATGTCATCCTGCAGGTGATTTGGTTACTTTTTGTCTGAACTCATCATTACATTGCATTTGGATTTCAATTTTATGGACATACTTTTCTTCCAAAGTAAGGTAAACTTAACATGCATTTTATCTTCCCCCCCTCTTTTTTAAAGTATTGTATTGTTAGAATAGTGTTTAGGGAAATCCAACAGAAAAAGTTGGGGTTTTTTAACCTTTTTTTTTCAAGCTGCTAAGATTTTGTGTCTAGCAACCAGCTGTCTTTTACTGTTACAGTAATAATTGATCTTATTTATGCCTCAGCTGTGTCCAACCTTTGTAACTGTTTTTGGAAAGGAATATACATATCCTGTCCAAAGATAGTTAAAGATTTAAAAATAAAGGTCAGTTGAGAGAGACTTGAAGGAGTGAAGGGAAATTTAATATCTTTGTAGAATCCAAAGCCTTAAACTTAGAGGATGCATTTATGAGTTACTTCCAGGAAATCAAGGGTAGAGAGTCCTGTGTTTAGAGAACTAACTTCTGCATAGACTGTAAAAAGAAGTGACTTCCGATTTTAGTTGTTCTTTCCTCTCTTGCCTCCTCTGTATGGTACTTTCTGCCTGACTTTTGCCTTGCTTTCTGTAGTGCAGCACTGGATTGAAAAATTATTAAGTAGTTAAGGATTTTTCTTGGTAGTAGGGAAGGTACCATAAAAATATTGTATGATGCAAGAGAACTGGAGAAGAACATAGAGTTTTTTGAGATACCAGTGTTAAGAAGGTTTACTGTTTCATTACTGAGGTTCTGATGCTTAAACTTTTAATTTGGTTTCTGTTAGAACATCCTAGATCATTCCAAACCAATGCCTCTTTGATGTCCTATTTGGTATTTAAAAGGGTTGATACAGTAGGCATAGGAATTCAAGTGGTTTGCTTAGTGATCCCCATTTGGCTTTGTGCTCAGAAACTCTGGATCTGTCGCCTAATTTTAACACATACCCTAATTTGCTTTAAAAACATGCTTGTTTTCTTAGAATGATGACACAAAATTTCTTGCTGCCTGACAGTATGGAAGTATTTGAATTATTAATCTTTAATCTAAACTTATATAGAGATATGTATCTATACATATAAAATTGTGTGTATGTGTATATTTATTTTTACATTATTTTCTATACATTTTCCAATTGTGCCATCCATTTTTTCCTGAAGATTATTAAATGTTGAATTTGGGTTCAATAAATGTCAATTAAATTATAGTCGTATCTACCTTGTCTGTACTGGAAGTTCAGTATTAACTTTCTCTTCTGTGTCTCAAGGATAATATAGGTGAGGGATTTTTTCTTGGATTGTCTCCATCTGCATAGATATTATAACGCAGTTACCTTTAGTAGGAACTGAAAACTTGATTTGTATTCACAGAAAATGTTTTGGGCATTGCAGGCTTGTCTTTGTGGTCTTAAGACTTTGTAGACTGTGGATGCCAAAGTTCTTTCTCAAATTGTCCTTTGGAAGAATTTTTGTAATCCATTTAGTGTCTAAATTAGCGTCTAGATCTAGTGTCTAAATTAGTTCATAAAACTTCTCTCCTTACCCTTCTTCCTCATAGAAGTTGCATTTGTAGTGTAATAGGGAAATAGAATTGTTGCTTTTCCTCAGAAAGAAATATACTTTGCAAGTTTATTTTTGTGTTTAACTGCATCCCACACTTCATCTAATATGAAACTGGTTTTGAGGAATGTGTGTGTTAATTTTCTTCTTTGTTGTGTTTTTTAAAATTTTCTAGATATTGTAGAGCATTTCTCAAATCTTTCATTTTCAGTAAATTATTTTTTTCACTGACAACACATAAACATTATTTTACTCATTGTTTTGGGGCTTTTGAGTTCATTACATGTTTTCTTCATTTTTCTCTGCAAAGTTTCATGAGTAGCATTAATCGTACAAAGTAATAGCACTAAACCCCCACAAATCTAGAGCTGAAAAATACTAAATCTTTGCTGTTGTTTCCTTACAGATATAAATTTAGCATTGGTTCCTGAAATTAAATGAGTTTTAGACTTTCTGATTCCAAATTATTTTAGTAATGGAAAAGCTGCATAAATACTAGGCTTCTCGGGATGATGTAAGCTGATGAGTGTAGCAGAGCTGAAATGAAGAACCTGAGACTTCTATTTTCTGCTTTTAGAACACTGTATGGTTCTGCAACTCTGTGATGTGTTTTTCCATGTTCAGATAAGTAATAGCACTTAGTAGAACTTAATTTAATTTTTTACATTTATCATTTGGCAATAGTGTTCAACTATATAAACTCTAAAGTTTTAGAGTTTGGGTGTGTTTTAAAATAACCCATACAGTGACTTTGTAATCTTTCTTCCCTTTACCATCAGATGGAACTTTTGGAAGAGAAAAACAGAGTCAAGGTTCAGTGTCGACAACTGGAAAAAATAAAAGTTGAGTGTGATAAATTGACAGAAGAATTAACACAGAATGAGGAAGAAAATATAAAACTAAAACGGAAATATGAGTTTGTAAAACAAGAACTGGAGAAAAAGGTAAAATTAACTGATTTTAACCATGATTTGTTTCTCTGCTGATAATAAATACCTAAAATAAATGCTGGATCATAGAAATAGATGGTAAACCTAAAAAACCCCAGCATACATGTATTAAAGAATACACCCAGTTGTGCCACAGTACATGGTTTCTTTATGAATGAAAGATGACAAAAATGCTTTGGCTGGATCATGAACTGAATCCCTCCAAAGACTCGCTAACATTATTTAGGACTAGAAATATAAAATCTTGTTGTTTGCCTGATCTCTAATATAGCTAACTAACAAATGTTTAATCCGCCACTTCTAGTTTTCTTCATATTTTTCTTCAAGATGCAGGGAACTATGAATAATTTAGAGGTAATTTTAAGTAAATATGCAATGTAAGCATAGTAAAAGAAATTTTAACTAATGTTGGGGTGGAGGATTTTTGGTTTTTTGGGATTTTCTTTTATAGTGTAGGGTTAGAAAAATGTTAAATCTGGCATTTCTTTAGCTTGCTAAACTATCAGGAAGTGGTTTAAAAGCTCAACTTAGACTAGTAAAAAGTACTTGAAATGAAAATTCAAAAATGTGGTTTTTCTATGTTGGCATTTTAGTTGTATAATATCTATTATTAAGAAAATGTGTTTATAGGAATGCACATGGGCTTCTGTAGTCTATATTAGCTCCAACCTTACCTAATATTGGGAAGGCACTCTTTTTCCATCAAAATAATCTTTTGTCTCTAAATTGAAAAAGATCAGAGAAGGTTTTAAGCATGTGATCCTGTGGTCTCAACTTTTGAAGGTAAAGGCAGATAGCTTGCATTAATGGTTAACTCAAGAGACTATTTGCTATTTTGGTTTTGTGGATTGTCAAAAGGGATGTTAGGATGGGGGAAATAAAACTACCTCTTGGGAAATCTCATGCTGGCATACAGTTGTGGCAACACAGCAGAAGCTTATTATGTTACAATGTATTTTATTTATTTTCCTTGCTTTTTATACTTTTAATATTCTGTTCTTAATGCAAATACTAATTCAAAGGGGCATAGGTATTATAGCTAGCTTAGATTTATTTCTTTTCATGAAAGGTGAAGGAGCAGAGCATAATGGTTGGTTTCTTTTCTTTCTGTGCACTTCTCAGTCATTAGTGACTTTTTTTCTCCTGTAGTCTCTGGATGTAGAATGATAAGGAATGTTGGCACGTTCAGAAAATCAAGCAGATAAGAAATAAAAAAATAAATAATGTGTTCTGTTTTAGTCATGACGTTTAGGAATGAACTTTGACATGATGGAATGCATTCAGTGAATAATGAGGTAACAATACGGATACTGGAAATATATACAATGCAATCTTATTGCTTTCGGAATACTAGTCTAGGTCAAAACTGTTATTTCATCTCCCATCTTTCAACTCCCATCTTTATAGTTCAGAAATACTGGAACCTGTCCATCTTAAAAAATCTTCTGATTTCTTCAGTTTGAAATAACTACTGTCCCAAGTATTTTTGTATTAATTAAGTGAAAAAATCAGACTGCTTATCAAGTGTTGGTATTTCACATTTGTAGGCCACCAGCATTAAAAACGCCTGTTTTGCTAGTAGAAATAAACACCTATACATATATATGTATACAACCTCCTCTAAGGAGGTAGCAAGGTGGATGTTGGTCTTGTCTCCCACTTAGCAAGTGATACGACAAGAGCAAATAGTCTTAAGCTGTGTTAGGGGAGATTTAGATTGGATATTAGGAAAAATTTATTCAGACATTGGAACAGGGATTGCTTAGAGAAGTGGTTGAGACACCAGCCATGGAGGTGTTCAAAAGACATGTACATGTGATGTTCAGGGATATGGTTTAGTGGTGGACTTGGCAATATGGGGTTTTTAGTTGGACTCTATGATAACTGAGTTCTTTTCCAACATAAATCATTCTGTGATTCCATATATATCCCATTCATGGAACTTGGGTGTTAGCATTACCTAACTCTGCATTGGTGTCTCATAAGAGCAGTGTATGAAGATTTCCAACAAGTAGACTTCAGACAGTTGTACCTTGTCATTGTAGAGGTCCACAATTAATAAATTTTTGAAATCATTGCTCTTTTCACCATTCTTTTTGCAACTCACATACATTGGAATTTGCCTGTTAAAGTGTTTGCCCTTTGTTGCATTATGTCCTCCTGATCTCAGCAGCAGACAGGTGTGTTTCAATTTCTCTTATTCTCACAAGATAGTTTTTTCTGTATTATTTATGATGCATAATTCAATACTTTGTGTAATCTAGCAGCATTTTTTTTTGGTTTTATGGCAGCTCTATCATAGATATAAAAGAAGAGAATCTGCATTTTAAAAACATGTAAGAAATTTAATCAACTTTTTGACATTAGCTGATAACCTAAAATACTTTCCTCTGTGCCACTCACTCTCCTATGAGATATCCTTTGAGTAGTTTTCCTTGAGGGTACACTGACTGCCAATAAAAGTTTTCTTCTGGGATCTCTTTTCTGACTATAGAAATTAGATGCCTAGAACAGATTCAGGGCAAAAGATAATAATGGGAGTATTTACTCAGGGCTCTTTTTCTACTCATGAGGAAATTTGTAATAGAACATCTATTTTTGACTTTGAAAAGAGGCTTTATGATTGTTGAATTTGGATTTGGTAGCAGTTTCTTCATAACTGATTTACAGGATAATAAGGAGAACCAAGGGAGGAACTTAGAAGTGCTATTAGAAGTTATTGTTTTTCCATGGCAAGGAGTTGAACTTAACACGACTGAGTATGGTCTGATTATGAGATTGAATGATACATGGCTGATGACATATGTTATATTATTAATGCAATTACGTATCTTTGGTTTGTTTTACCTTTTTCACTCCAGGAAAAACAGATCAGCAATGAAGAAGATCATTTGAGAAAGATGAGTGAGGCCAGACTGCAGTTTAAAGATCAACTGTGTCAATTAGAAATGGAACAGCAATCCATTCTCTCCATGATAGGAAGTGAAATTGATGCTGCTTGTGAAATCTTTTCTCGGGACTCCATGGAGAAATTAAAAGTAATTCTAAGTTTTAAGTATGCTGCAGGTTTTGTTCTTTTCTCCATGAAAGTTTGTAGTGGAACTTGTATGCATGGTTTTTGCTGTTGCATAGATAATCATTCTAATATAATTATGGATATTTAGCTGGTATAAAAGGACATTGCTGTGTATAAGAATGGGATACTGTGAAGGACTGCCATGCATTAATTGGTACTGCTTTCTTTTTTTTTTTTCTTTTTTTGAGAAATGGTTCTCTTGCTTGTGTGAAAGGACCTTTTATTATCCAAAATTTTGAGGTAGGTTTTCTTAGGCCATGTTCCTAGAATTGGAAAGTACTTAAAAAGGACCTAAAATGCTTTTAAAATTGGGAGAAAATGAAAGAAATTTTTTTGTTAAAAAATCACTTGGATGCTTTGGTTCTTATGTAGAGAACTGAATACTGAAAATGAAAAGAGTTTATAACCTCCTCTTTTGAGGAGCAGGTCCTTGTATCCAGAAAACTCAGACTCAAATTTTCAGGAAACTGGTAGCTTGCTGTAACTTTTTTTTTGCAATTTTAATACTTCTCTTGCAACCTCTGTCTCCCTGTAGCTTTTCTTCTGAGCATGCTCATTTGCTCGCCTCTTCCTCCCTTGATATGATTCTACATGACTGATTCTCTTAAATCAACATTGTACATTTCTGAGAATATAGAGAACAGACTGTCTGACTCAGCTTGTCGCCACACTTACAAGTGCTTGACCTAGTGGCTTTTTAGCCTTAGCTGCAACCTGGAGTATGCTCAGATTACATCTTTTTTTTTGTGTTGCTGTTTAAACAGAAAATACTTTATAGCTCTTCGTCATTTGACTGGGCTGGGCTACTTTTGAAATAAATTTTTTTTCACCATTGACACCATTTCTCCACTTACATGTGGAGTTGGGGTGTTGGAGCACAAAACTAGATGAGAATTTGAAGAGAATGTATTTGACAAACAAGCTTCCTCCTCTGTATCCTTACAGATAGGTCTTTTTGTTTTATTGAGTTCTATAATCTGCTGTAGTTGCCAGATTTTTGATCATTGAGCCATGCCTTCTTGGACTTGTTCCTCACCTTGTGAAGGTTTTTTGGTTTCTGGATAAGGTTTTGCAGATCCCTGTTTATACAATTCTCTTTGGTTTTTTATCACGGGCCAACTTAAACCAGTTATGAATGTGAATTTTTGACTAGACAGTTAATGTGAAAAAGAAAGTTAGCTTTGTGGTCCTGGTATGAATTTTTTTTATAAGGTAAGAATCTTCCTTTATAATATTGTTCCTCTGCCCAGTACTTCAGGTATTGCTAAGGTTTCTAAAACCTTTCTTTACTTCAAGAACTTGCTGCTGCAACTTGGGTAAGCAGGAGGAATTTGATGGATAAATAATTGTATTGAGAGAAGTCAAGCACTAGGCTTAATCTTCCTTGATAAGAAATGCGTTTCTTTGATGAATTTCCAGTAAGCAGAAAAGACTTTCTTCCTTCTACGCCTAATTCCCATTTTATGTCTCTTTCTTTGTCACCTGCTTTTTCATAGGCAATATCCCTTACACCAACAGTACTGAACGATCCTCATCGCTGGTTAGCAGAAACAAAGGTAATGGTGAAACCTCCTGAAATTTTACTGAGTAAGCTAATATTCAGCATTTGATGGTGTAGTGGGAGGTGTCCCTACACAGGTAGGGGCTTGGAACTAGATGATCTTTAAGGTCCTTTTCAGCCCTAACCCTATATTACGGTTAATCAGGGGGTGAGTCTGTGAAAGGATGTATCTGATTTAGTTAAAAGCCTATTTAAAGCGGCACTTCAAGGGTAAAAGGAAAAATATAAAAGCATACCTTTGGCAATTATACTGATATTTCCAGACTGTTCTCCAAATGTTTCTATCAACAAGAAATAGCTATCTTTATGGCAAAATAAGTAGCAATGTTGTTTTCACAAAAAAAAAGCCATTGAAGTAAGAGCAGTGATAGCTTTTAGATCTGGTTCACATTTTTTCAGACAAGTAAAGCAGAGGATGTAGTCAGCAGGTTAAGTTTCTCTTATAGCATTATCACAAGGCTAGAAATGATTTTAAATAAGGCTGATATTTGTCAATCTAAAATATATTAGATTGGATTATTGGAAAATGAACGATTTTTCTTTTCCCCGTTGAAGCTTTCAAATCCTATCTTGTGGGGGCACACATGCTTGAGAACATCTTCAAGGTGATGACTGTAACTCATAAATCTTGCCTTTCATTTTGCAGCTTTCCTCCAGCTCCCTCAGCTCACACACTTAGCATGCTTCTTACCCAGTATCTTTTAAAAGAAGTAAATTTCTCATAATCAAAATAGATTGCAAACTGTGGAAAGCAACTGGTGTTTTTTTCATATAGAAAGGTCAAAGCCACAGGAGAACTGACTTAAGGAAAAGTAATTGCAAATGTTTGCATATAAGAGAAGGTTATTCATGGTGTGTGGTCTATGTAAGACTTGTAGACCAAGAAAGACTTACACTATACATAACAGAGGTAGGATTGGAATCAAAGAAGAAATGTTATGGAGGAAGTGTTTTCTTCATTTGAAAAAGTGACACTGACATATTATTAAAAAGAACTTTCAAAGAGCACCTAATAATACTTTGCAAATCTAAGTTTGTTTAGCTGCTAGAGGGAAGTTTGGAGTGAATGACTGCTTAAAATGCCACTTTTATTTTCTTTTGTTTTAAATAGGCTGTGTGAAAGTTTCCATATCATATTCCATTTGATCACTTCTAGATTTACTAAATTGATCACAACCAAAAGATCTCAATGAGATCTTTTTGTCCTCTGAGTGAAGATCTTTTTCTCCTCTCTTTTTCAGAAAGGGGAAATATTTTAAATTCTGCCAACATAAAATAGAAAAAGGTACTCTGAAAGGAAAGCCTGTCTCTTGGTGTCTGTGTGCACTAATTCAATGTGAATTTCCATATCTACCCTAGCAAATTCATGCCTCTGATTTAAAAGAAATAAAATAATATTAAATGAAATAACTTTTCACATATAATTATCAACCAAGATATGTCTTTTTGATCTCTTGAAAATCACCTTATATTCTCTTAATATATCTGAATGCCCTCTATTATTATTTTTCAGATAGTTACAAATGAGTAATCTGTGACTCCAAAGATAATTTGGTCAGTGAATATTTATGTTCTCTTATTTTTATTAGAATTCTTTACTTTTTATTGTACCTTTTGTTTTAAATGTAGACTAAGCTTCAGTGGCTGTGTGAGGAGGTAAAGGAAAGAGAAAGTAAGGAAAAAAAGCTGCGATGCTACTTGCTGCAAAGCCGAGAACAGCTCAAGCACTTGACACAGATAAAGGAGACTGAACATCAGTCTCTCTTTAAACAGATAAAAACCCAAGAAAAGCTTTTGGAAGAAGTTCACAGAGAAAAAAGAGGTATGTTATGGGTTCCAGTTTTGTTAATAAAAGGGAGAAGGAATGTAAAATTATATTAATTATAATTTATATGGCACGTACATTTTATCAACTAGTTACTGCCATGGGCTATTGCTAACCAAGAATAATGTTTCGTTTGTGGTTTTTTGTTTTCCCTTGCTGACAAAAAAGGCAAATGCAATCAGCCACGTTTCAGACCAGTTCAGTGGCTGAGTAACACACGAGTTTACATCATGCACAGTGGATATAGAAGCTATTTCCCAGCTGTACCATCTGGGACATTGCACAACCTGGGCAAAAAGGGGATTATACAAGAGTCTGAGGCCGTCTGAGTTAGATTTCTATTGCACAGCTCACTGTGTCATGGTACAATCTTTCATTGTTTTCTGTTCCCTCCGTTTTGCAAGAAGGGTGTCACCTTTTAGATTGTCTTCAGAAATCTTGTTCCGGCCTTTATTCAGGACTCCATACTGATGTAACTGGGCAGAATAAGTATTCTCTTTCTTTATTTTGTTCATTGTCACTTTGTCCTCATTGACGTAGATTCAGATAAGAGTAAACTTTTAGTAAGTGTAGTTAAAGCTTCTAGTAGTTAACTTATTGAAAATGTTTTGTGAATTGCAGCAAAAAACAAAATTGCTTGGTTTTGGCAAGGACAAAGTTAATTCTCTTCCTGGTAGCTGAAATGTGCTGTGTTTTGGATTTAATATGGATACTAATGTTGATAACACACTGATGATTTAGTTGTTGTATCCTTAGTCAAGGACTTTTCAATTTTCCCTGCTCTAATAGTGAGACGGTGTGCAAATCGATGCAAGGAAGCATGGCCAGGCCAGGGGAATTGGCAAAGGGATATTCCATACATTAGAACATGATTCCCAGTGCACAAACACAGGAGAGTTGTCTGGGAGGAGCCAATCACAGCTAGAGAAGGGGCTTGGTGGTAAGCAGTGATACTGTACATCACTTGGGCTATTTTTGGTTATACTTCTGTTTCTTTTGGCATGTGCATGTCATGACAGCGCATGTGACAGTGTATGCAAGATTACAGTCTCCCCATGAATTTAATTGGTTTGTTTTACAATCATGTCAACTTAGATTTTTCTTTTTAATTTTGAAATTATTACTTTCATTATACCAAATCAGTTATTTTCTAAAAGTTGTAGAAGGTAGAGAAATTTTTTATTAAAAAGGGTGCAAGACAAAGTCTGACTGTTTTTATATCTTGAACAAATACTCTTACATACTGAGTGAAAAGCCCAGCCTTGATTATGATGCGAGTAATACAAGAATGTACACGTAAATAGTTTAATGAATAAATGACTTGAACATGAAAATTGGAAAAGCTACTTTCCCAGAGGGAAAAAAGAAAACACAGATAAAAGCATAAAAAAGGTGTTAAGCCAAAAGGAGAAAGCAATCCATCAAAATGACAAAAAATTTAAATTAAGGACAGAGAATGCTGGTTGGCTTTTCTTAAACATAAAAAATGGAAGGATTTACATAGTCCTCAGGCACCCAGTAATGAAATTATGGGCAAATCCCAGATATAGGAATAAAGCAAATGAAGGCAGAATGTATTTAATTGATAAAAAAACCCTTCACTTTTTTTTTTTAACATCAAAGTATCCTTAAAGATACTGCTAAATAAAATAGATATTTAGTCAAATTTGATCAAATGGATGAAAATATTTCCTGCTGGAATGATGCAGATTTTAGATGAAGTATTTTATGAGATTCTGTGAATAACTATGAGTATCCATGGATGTGGTTGACTGTCCCCACTGACACAAACCACTTGTCTGAGTACCTGATATAGTCTGAAAATACTACATTGATTTAAGTTCACATAAATCAAAACTTATGCAAATGAAACAGAGAAATTGTATTCTCAAGAAATGGATTTGTTAATTTCCTTTCTGTGGATCTGATAATGTAATTTACTCATGGGGTTTTTTTGGGGAGAAAGAATAGAAATAGAGATATATGGTGGACATATCAAAAGTAGGTGGCATAAATATTTAAAGTGCTTTGTTGATGACTGTGATTAAAGACGTTTTATTAGCTTAAACAGGTCTACTAAAACTTTTTAACTATGTATTTTTTTGTCTTTTCCCTTCGCCAAGGCATTTGTAAATACCTGGGATATTGTAGGCTTTTGAAACCTCCTTATGATTTCTGTAGAAGCGTTAACATTATCACAGTGGTACCTGTGGTGGTACAAACTGGCTGTCCACATGGTATAATCCTGACAAACACAAGTAAGCTAACATAGAGATTCATCCATGGGAGAATAGAGAATGAAGCAAAATACCGTTGCGAAGCGCAGAGTTTCAGGATTGTTTACAGAGCAACAGAAGTTTCACAGTTATCTGGTGGTGCTTCAAGATCAGCTACATTTGTCTTCCATTGTTGATGAGAGTTTAGAAATTCAGAAGTTTAACAATATTTATGAATATAGAAGAACTGAAGAGGATGTGACTTCTGATTTCAGGTTTGCAGATTGGATGCAGTTCACTACTGAACAAGGTATTTATGTAGCATGCTACACAATGGGATATTTCAGTAATAACTTGGATTCTGTGTTTCATCTTAGAGTGATTTTGGTCTTAGAATCAAATTTATTGCACTAGATATTCATTATGTTAACAAAATAGACAACGGTCTGAGGAAATAAAATGCATAAGTTCCAGTTTCTTAACTATGAATTTAATTTGCATTCCAGAATCACTGAGCATGCCATGGTGTTCTTAAGATCAATTTAAAAATTAGTTTAGGTAACAAGAATTTTATTTTTATTATTTTTTAATGCCATTGTCAGCAATTGTACCTGGCACGAAATTTCTTTCATTTATTTTATTTCCATATGATCTAGCCTGACTGTGTATTTTGAAAAACTCATCATTCAAATCAGTGAAAGTCTATATTTGATCCTGGGTGGACCCAATGGTTTTATAAACTAAGATTTACTTTAATTACCTTTCCAAGAAAATCTTGGAATGTACTGACATGTATATAAGCTAGGCATAATATGTTATATAGTGGTGAACATGAAGTCTGCACAGTTCTTTTGTTTGAGGATAATATACTGCTACTTCAGAGAAGACACGGAGAGTCAACAAATAAATGTTTAGCAAAATGAGACCCAACATATTTGCCAACACCATATCTGTTCTTTTTTTTTAATGAAACGATGTTAGTATGGCTGTAGTGATGTAAGAAGAGGAGGTGCATTGCTTCTGTTTACAAGACTGGTTTAATTTATCTCAAAATATTCTGCAAATATTGCTTTACACAAAGTCCCAGGTGATGAGTTCTGTATCAATTCTCAGTGTCTACTGAAATAATGCTCTACAATCACATTTGAATTATTACATATTTAGAATCTCTTACATAGGCATATACTGCTATATATACTTATACTGCTAAGTAAAGCTTAGGAAGGTAACAGTTGTAGTCCTGAGATACGATAGACTAATGCTAGATGCTTTTGTCAGAGGCACAAAACTCTTCTGGGCAAATGTGTGGTGTTTTTCTTTATGTATTAAGTTTATCACTCATGCCTTTATCATTGTGCATTGTCTTGTATTTGAGGATACAAAAGTCAAATTTTGAAAGACATTTTAGCTGGTTTTAGTGGCAGTGTCAGCTCTGTCAATCACACAAGTTTCCTCTAGTTTCATCACTTTAAACAAGTAAAATTTACAAAGATTTTGGGATGCGATTCCTGAAGCAAGACATCAGTTTATTTTAATTTCTATTTTTTCTGTTAGGTTCAGTCAGGATTATCTGTTATTCAACTGCTGTGGATAACATAAACTCAAAAGAGCCTGGTATATTAAATTAGATTAAAAATGTAGGTAAAATTTTGCTTTGGCGAAAGTTAGTCTTTCAAATTATATTTCTGTTTTTTCTATTTTAAAGTCAGGAAGTCCAATTTTTGTTTGAGTCAGGAACACTAAAGCAGAAAGAGTAGAGATGTAAAATAAGAAACATAGAATACATTGAATGTAAGTATACTGACACTGAGCAATCTCTGCTATTAAACTGAGGAAAAGGATGAGATTGGAAGCCAGTGAAAATCAAAACTGTAAAATCTTTCTATTGTGACCTATTATGTTTCATTACATAGTAAAGTACATATGCTGTTTTGAAGACAACTTTAAGCCTTATTCTGCCCTTTCAGCTTTGATTCTTTCTTTTTCATTACTTTTTTTTTTCTCATATATTGCATGATATTGCCCTTGTATGAACAAGAGTCCTTTCTGTGGCAGCAAGCATCATCACAAGGTATTTTCAGGTCATCTTTTATTGAACAGTGAATGGGAGCATCAACTAGAGAGAACACTCTTTTAAGCATACATACAGGAAGGAATCTGAAGGATTTCAGAGAAGCTTTTCATAGTACTTGGTTTTCATAATGAGCTTCAAAATGCATAAAGTTGAAATATCATTGCTATTAAAATAATTTATTTCTTCTTAATAGTGTTCTTGCCCTTTAAATAATGCTTGGTTTTTTTAATGTGATGGGGGAAGGAGGAGGGAGGACTTCTAAGTTATTTTAAACTTTGCCAAAATGAACCTGCGTTCAGAGTCTTAGAAGAATGGAAATAAACCCAAATCATTCAGAAATCTTGCCCTGTGGATTTTTTTAAATCAGAAAACTGGAAATATCTGACTGGACATGCATTGCTGTAATTATTTAGTAGTTTTCTGGAACCATTTTCATTTGACATTAGCTTTTTATGCACTCATAAAAATATGGCTGCCATTGTAAAAAAGAGAAGGTAAGAGATGGGATCAAACTGTAGCTAAGATGTTTTTAAGACTTCCTTTGATTTCTTTTTTCTTTCTGAATCACATACTTTAGATGATTATCTGAAACTTATGTACAGTTTTTTGGTGTGGAAAGCATGGTGAGTCCTTTAAATTAGTGAGTTTGTACTGCTCATTAACAGTAGGAGACTATATTTATTAGATTTATTTCTTGGTTTACCTGC